GAGAATTGATGAACCATCATTTGATGTGTCCGTTACAGGAGTACATGACTTACCGTAAGCACAAGTACATGCGACTTGATGGTTCATCGAAAATCTCAGACAGGAGAGATATGGTGGCTGATTTCCAGTCTAAGTAAGTAAATAGATGAATGAAATAAACAGATATGAAGCAGAGGCGTATTCACTCAAGGTTCCTTGTCTATTTAGAATTTAAAGTGTGGGTTTTTTTTTGGAGGAAGGAAAACCTGAAACTTGTATTCTTTTTACAGCATTTGGAGTAAGAACTCCCCTTTTCTGCTTCATCGAATGGTAAATATCGTAGTTCTGACAGAGTTCCAAAACGTTTCTCTTTCAGTGCGGACATTTTCGTGTTTTTACTGAGTACACGAGCAGGAGGTCTGGGGATCAATCTAACAGCTGCAGATACGGTAAGACAACCAAAAGAGGTCATCATCAGTGAGAAAACTTTGGATGGCTGAGCCATTCTAAAAGCACCGTGAGCCCTTTACACTCCAACATCAGTATGCATATTCTCCATACTGTTCTCCACATATTTTCTTAGGTGCCGGAAAGGAGATGTGTTTAAAAATCAAGAGCTTCTCTTGCCATTGATCACTTCCTTTATTCTCATGACCTCAATGTATGAACCAGGACTGATATTGTAAGGAGAGATTAGATATTAGTCACTCTAAGGGGTTAAAGGGTTGATTGAAGTATGCAGTGACCGCTTTGTCTCTGGTTCTTTCACGTAGGTAATTTTTTACGACAGTGACTGGAATCCTACAGTCGATCAGCAGGTAAAGTGTTGTAAAGGAATAAAGTTGTTGTTAGAAGCGTTTATCATTTTAAAGCAGGTTAGGTATCAGTGTATAACATGGTAATTTAGTTTTATCACCTGAGTTGTTAACGTAAATTGGCCATCGTAAGGAGTTTAAAAGATGACGTTTCGAGCGTTAGCCCTTCGTCGGAGCGATTGGGGTAACACTCGGAACGAGCAACTCAGTTGATAATACTAAATTACCCTGTTATACTCTCCTACCGACACAGAATCACAGTTTCTTTAGCCGTGTGAATGTTGAAATTGAAGGAGTTTTAGTATGTGATTGTTGTACTGTAGCTGTGGTATTGTTGCAGTGTCGCATCTGTTGTACTGTCTATCTATCGTAAAAAATGAAAAGAAAAAAAAAAGAGATTATAATGTAGAACTTAGTTTTTACTTGGTAATACGATTAGTGATGGTGTTTCAATGTAAAATCATCAAGAAAGTCATCAGTGTAGAACAAGAAGGTTTAGTACCTGCAGTCAATTTCTATCGATGTTGTAATTAAATGAGCTTTTGAATTATACTTCAGAAGGAAACTTGCATGTCAAAGCCATATAGATAAATCAACGAATCGCACAGGTTTTTCAAGAGAAATTAGATGTTCGTTGGGAAGAAGTTTTTGCTAATTTATATTTTATATATTGTATTTTCTTGTGTTCAGGCCATGGACCGCGCCCACCGCCTGGGGCAGACTCGACAAGTGACCGTGTACAGACTGGTCACTAAGGGTTCTATAGAAGAGAGGATTCTTCAAAGGGCCAAGGAGAAGAGCGAGGTTCGTATTGTTCTTGATTCGTTAATATATCGTCGTTTCCAGTGACTTTTGGCCTAAAAAAAAATCATAGGAAGAAAATTGCAAGTCAGAGTCACTAGATCACAGGAGATAAATTGACTACATGTAATCATTCTATGGATTTTATTCTACCCCTTTCAGATTCAGAAAATGGTGATTTCAGGCGGGCATTTCAAGCCTGAAGCTCTTAAACCTAAAGAAGTGGTATCTTTGCTTCTTGATGATGCTGAACTGGAGTGCAAATGTAAGTCTGTGGAACTGAAGTTGTGTGAATGGTGGTGTGCTATCAGTTAACTTGTGGAAATTATATTCCGCTTAAGATGATAACCTGCAAAGACACTGACCCACGCACGGTGGTCTTGTTGTTGCTCGCTGTTCACAAGCACGGTGTTCGCTCTGTCAAGGGAGGGGGAAGCTTATGCGGCTTGTGTCGCTTCTGAGCTGACTTGTGCACTCTTTATGATCTCTCCAGTTCTTCAGCGGCAAGCTGAAAAGAAAGCTGATGAACAACGGCGAAGAAGGGAACGAAAACGAAAGAAGACGGGGCCAGTTGAGGTTTGTATGCCAACTTATAAACATACCTTTGTTTTCTGAATCAAAATCTGACCCCCTCCTCTCTTAAAATTACTGAATCCTTCCTTGGTCCCTCCCCATCCTGCAAACTGTTAAAGAGACTTGACCAGTACACGGGGGAGCGGTTACCAGCGATCCTCTTTATCAATTTGTGTAACAAAAACCTGTACAAGCTCTGCTAGCCATTCTCAGACTATAACTTCTTAAAATTAACTGCGCTTTGTTCACCAGTTGGGTGAAGGCTTATCCCCGAGTATCGAAATCACCGATGGCGCGCCTCCAGTCAAGGCTAAGAAAGGCCGTAAGAGCAAAAGCTCGCTGGTCCCACCTGCACCTGAAGGATCCATGTCTGGATCTAAACCCGCCTCGGAGACCAGTAGTATCACGGGAGAAGGGCTGAGTATTAAGACAGGTGACGCGTATGATGGCGACGGTACCGTAGGGGATGACATCAGTGTGCTGAGTCTAGATGAAGGTAAGCTGTTACTCTTATGCTCAATTTCACATTCAAAGGACGAACTTAAATTTAAAATTTGGGTGGGTTTGTTCTGAGGGAAACGCCTGATGGATGATATGAGTGTCACCCCAAAGCTGCAAAACTGGCTTGGAGTTAGAAAAGAGCTGTGAAAGGCATGGCTCAACTACCAGAGACAAACTATCCATGTTTTTGTTTTTGCTCTTTTGTTATTTTGTTTTTTTGTTTTTTTCAACTTTGGTTAGGTAGTCAATTAATCAGAATATCTTGCCGTTTGAACTTCTTGGTAAGGCGTAAGTAACATTCACAAAACACATTCTTATCAGTTCTTATCAGTAAACTCTCATCTTTTCGTTGCTAGTGTCGTTGGCTTCTGGTGATCTGTCAGTCGATATACCTCCAAGCAACACAGAGACTCCTCTGAGCTTGAAACCTGAAGGAGAAGACTTGGATGATCCCCGAAGCGAAAACGCCAGTCCAGCCCTGTCTGATTCCTCTGGAAAAAGAGGCAGAGGCCGCGGTCGTGGAAGAGGAAGGGGACGAGGAATCACCTCTAGTAGGGGACGCGGGAGCTCCAGTGTTCGAGGATCCCGCTCTCGGGGACGTGGACGAGGAACTGGTGGAGCCCTTGCTGCCTCTGCTGCGGCATCAGCAGCTGCAGCAGCAGCATCAGCTGCAGCATACGCCGCCTACGGCTTCTCTTTCCAAGGGACAAGTACTCCGAACCCCACCCCACCGCCGGCGCGGTCCAGTCCAGTGGCATTTGGTGCCGGTGGTTCTGTCATGCAGGGGTATGGCAACATCAGTCATCCAGTGGCACGTTATGATAGTTCGTCAGCTGGATATTCACCTGTTCAAAGTGCAGAAAACAGCCCGGCTAGATCATCATCTCACGCGTCTACGCGCATTAACAGTCAGCAGTCTTCGCCTCCGTCATGAAAGTTTTCGTGATCTGTGCTTAAAATTTGAAAGGCTTCAAAAGTGAACTGTACTAAGTAGAAGAGCAAGGAAATGCAATATATCGTCTGGTCGAGTCATGCTGCTTAACAATCAAGCTACTGAGGAAGTCTTAAAGAGTAAATGCATTGTTTTCCTTCATAGAATTTTCTTAATTGCACTGATTTTCAGTACAAAATTGGACAGGGAAACTTTATCACGTGAGTAGCTTTTCGTGGAGGAAACTGTGCTATTTACATGCATCACGATCTTTCCCTCTGGAAAACACAGTATGGTGTAAATAGTTAATTTCGGGAATGGCGAGTCAGGTCAAATTATTAATCTTGATTTCTATTCTACCTGTTTTAATTGTTGGTACACCGAGAAAGTTAAAAAAGATCATCACAATTAATACTACTGTAGCTTCATTCGATCTCTGCATGTCACAGTCCTATCGTCTCCTTTGTCACGCAATGCTTAAAATTTCGCGTGACATCATAAAATGATGGCTGTGTGACATATTCTGTGCTTGAATAAAAATCCTCACCATGGTGGGTCTTGATTCTTTTTATCCACAATGAAATGGCAATAAATTTATTTAACTACTACGTGGCTGAGGTGCTGGTTTAGCGATATTCGTCCCAGAAATTCGTTTGGAAATTCCACTCGCTAATGGTTGCTAAGCTTGCTCGCTAAAAATTCAAATCACGATTGAGTCCCTAAAGCAAGCTTTATTTTTCCAGCGGAGGCAAGAGCGAAGCCTGAGTACCGCGCGTGATTTTTGCTCTCTCCTCGCGCGCGCTTCCACTTGTCTTGAAGACGTGAAGAACTGCACTTGTACTCCTAGGTAATCTAGGTTTTTAATTTCAGTGAAGCAAAACAGAAAAAATATTATTCACCAGCGTTAGGAAAAACTCTGCCCTCTGTCTCGAGTACAGTTTTTCCCAGACCGAACCTCTCGGCTAGCGAATAGCAGATATATCTTTTGATCTAACCACAGTTTCGAGTAATGCGGTCAAAAAGTGCCGCCTAGAAGCTGTAGTCGCTTCTGCCCAGCTAATTTGTATGTTATAAAAGGAACGAAATAGTTAACAGAGCAATAGGAACGGTATGGCTAAAATGAGGGAGGTTTGGGTCGGGTCGTAGATTAGGCAACCCGACCCAACCTTCCCCGTTTTTCCACTCCTCCGCTGCTATCGCGCTGGATATCGGGCCGTCTGCTATTGCGCTTTATTTTACCAACTGAATGCCTGGAACAAGCAATACGTTATTAAGCGCAAATACCAGAAAAAGAAAACTCCATGAGCTTGGTCTATTCATTTAGGTCGTAGAAAAGATGCACTCGCACTCTCACACGCGCACACACACTCGCACAAAGCGGACGCAATGGTTTTCACCTCATCAATTTAATCAAGAAATCTTTTTAGATTTGTTTGTTTTTTTTTGCAACCTGTAAGTCAACGCTTTTTCATACTTATAAAATACATAACCTTTTAACAACGTAAAAAGTATCCAAAGCGTGCGTTAGTTTCACACTTTCAGTCCTCCAGAGTGGGAGTTAACAACAATTGGAAAGCAATTTTCCTACTTTTCATCAAATATTACAAACCCCTCTAACCTCTGTAGCCTACTTTCACGTAAGACTTGTTTTGACTTAGGTTTGTTAAATTTTAACAAAAAGACGAGAATTTGTGGGTCAAAATTGAAGCGGCCCGACGTTAGTTGAGCAAAACTTTTGCTATTTACACTATATTTATAATATATCTTTGTTTTCAAGTGTTCGTCACATAAATCATTCTCTTATCAAGATAGATGCGAAAGTATGAAAACAAATCCTTTTGGAATTACGTTTTCAATATTCCTTCTGTCAGCCCCTTATAATTACTTCCCCTAAAAATAAATAGTATAGAAATTGGGTAAATTCTATTAAAAGTCAAAGTAATTCAACATTAATGCAATGTCACTTAACGTTATTTTCTAAGTGACTGGACGTCATTTAGACAGTGTTTTTCCTTTTTCCTTTGCAATACAAAACGAGTGCGGTTGTTTCTAATAAAGATTTTCTTCATGGAATTATCGATTCTTTCATTAGATTATGTCCTACTTACAACCATCACCCGCGGTTTTCATTTCATCCTCGACTCGTTAAGTTGTATTTTAGCTGAGTCCATGACGTGAAAGCATCAGTGGAAAGTCCTAACTCTTTCTTGACTAATTTCTCCAAATCAAACAGGTGTCGTTCGTCATAATCTGGCACTTTTTCCCTCATAAAGTCCGCTAAACGAACAAGGTACTCTACATTCAGGCCAGAATTCCCCTTTGCGTAGGCAATTTGTGAGGCGATCTGCTCTGGCGAGGCTGGTCCAAGATACAGAGCATTTTTTGGAGTCGCAGCATACGCCACCACATTGAATCTGTGTGAAGGTTTCTCGTTACAACTGAAAGATAAATGACGAAGATCATAGCCCCCTAGAGCGATTTCACGTTCGTTGAGTTTTCCCAAGGCAAGATTGGCGTTTTCCCTCGCTACCTTGTATGCGATGCCCCATACACGGCCCTAAAGAGAAAATGAAAATATATAAGTTAACCAATTGATAATAATAATAGGACTGAGGAGTCCAATTCGGTCTGTAATCATACGAGTGATGAACAAAAAATTGGACGACCGCGAAGCGGGAGTCTGATTTGTCAACCACGAGTATGTTTACCGACAGAATTGGACGACACGAAGTCCTGTTACCAATTTATCATAACCGTTAAATTTCCGGGAAAAAAAACATTGAGCACAAACATCTCTGGTAGAGACTAAAGCTAAAGTAAGAGAGGATAATTGGTTGTTGCTATGGTTATTGTGATCAATTCTGTGATTGATGGATTTAGCTGAGTGGACTTAGTATGATTGGCTGCTTTAACTGTCTGATTACAAGTGTACAAGTGTCCGATTACAGCCAACTGTCCAATTGCTATGTCCGATTACAACTACGCAGAATTATTAGTGAAAAATAAAGCAGCCAATGCACCAATCACATTTGAAGAAATTGTAACGGTTATGATTAACACGGCAGTAGTGTTGCCTCGTATCTACACCCATTTTCAAATGACAAAATTTAATCACCCAAATACAGGATTTTAGTCCGTACAAATATCTTATTTTCTTAATTAAAAAACTGTAAGAAATTGAACTCATCCATTTTGTCCCAAAAGATTTTGGGACAAAATTTGCACGATCCCTTTCATAACTTTCACTTTCCGACAATTCGATTGGTTACTGTGATTAAGCCTTGAAATCTGGTTGGTTGTTTTGTCTTAAGTGTTGCTTTCTCATTAGCTGAGAAAAACAAGCGATTTCGAACACAAGATAATGCAATTTGCGAATAAATCGCACTGCAGAGAGCCAATCGGATTGCAAAGATTACCAGTGGTTTCAAAATGGATGTAATAAACACAATTACACGTGCACATTAAAGGTACCTTTTCGCAAGCTATACAAGAAAACGTCCTCAGTCAGTGTACTTTTCGTAGGTTTTAGTGAACTTTGTTTCTGATGTCCCCTTAAGAAGTTCTGAGTTATGATTTTCTTCATTTTAGTGGTAACAATAAAGATTGGCGTTAAAGCCTGTAACACGCCACGAAATGTGAGAAATCAAACCATTAGTTCCTAAGTTTCAACAATCTTCGTTCTTTTCCTTCACTCTCTAATTTTCAAGTCTGCTCGGACTGAGCTGTGGGAAGGAAAGTAAGAGATGATGGAAGTGCGAGGTTTATAATAGTATTTGGACAAAGACGTATCACTGTTGGAGTAATTTTGGTTTCTTTGTTTGATTGAAAGCATTCTTCATTCTTATCATTCTTCGGTGAAGAAGGCATTTTCTACGATCAAATAATTCAGTGTGAAAAATGATTCACTGCTGAAAATAAACGATCTTAGGCGGATACTTCTTAGCGCTGTTTACTCGAAAGAGTATATGCTTCTGGGTGAATACAGATAAGCGGTCATGTGCCACTCAGCAGAACGTCAGTACTTGGACCACGTGCACTCTTATTCATAAACGTGCTGCGTTTGATACTTTGATTGTAGAGCGTGCAGTGTGCGTCGGTTGAAAAGAAGAAAAAACAAAGAAAGAAACAAAGATTTGTGCGTAGAATGATATTTCTCATTATTCTGACGGCCGAGCGCTAAATTCATTAGGCTCACGCCACAAGCTCTTCTTGCCACGGGTTCCTTTACCACGAGCCCTCTTGGACTACACAAGTTTTCCTAGGACTAGTATAAATTGTTCGCTATTTACTTAAGGAAAGGAACTTAATTAAGAAAATGATTTTTTTAACGACACCTGTCGAAGTAAACTTGCCCAAGTTCAATATCCCCCTAAACCCTTCACAATTTCTTTAACAAGTGTCATTTTGAATTACTATTCGCCAATCAAATTCATCCACTTTGAGTTTTATTTTGACGAATCTCCTTATCTCTTTAAAGATTTATTTAACCATTTAATACAAAAATCCAGCATGACAGGTTTTGAGCTGGGGACCTGGTCGAGGAAAAATGTCTAATTTTCCGACTCACACCGTAAACAAAAACCTTCCAAGGGATAATTTGCCGAGGAACTTTTGTGGCTTTTACATTTAAACATAACGAATTTCACCAAAAATACCAAAGTGGTGGACCAACGTATAGGAAAACATCTGGTTTGGATGTAATAAAAGTATTCCTCGAAATCACAAGAGGCGGAGATATGTATTTGCATCAGAAAGCAAGCTTTTCAAAGTTCATTACGTAAATTTTTTATAAAAGCAGCATGAAAAACATGAGTGAAAGTTCTCGAATTTCACTTTTCATTTTCTCGCAAGCACAAAGGAGCTAAATAAAAGCTGTTTTAAAATTTAATTCACAATTACAAAGGAGACACAACGAACAACATAAGATAGAGATTAAATAAAAATTCAAGAGCGTATTTAATTAGACCATCCGCATTTGGGTCTCGACCTGCTTGCACCCACGCTGATACAAAGCAAATACTTGTAGCATTGGACTTCCACGAGTTTTCAATGTTTCGATGGAAGATTCCATCAAAAGGAAAAGACGTTTTGACCTAATAAATTCTGAGCCGTTTTACGCAGAGACGACTGTATGCAAATTACAATCCAAGTTTGTTTACTACCAACGCACTAACGAACCATGGACTTAAAAAATTCCAAAACAAATTGATTGCACTTTTCGTTTTAGAGAAAGCAAACGCTAAAACGCCCACTCGTGCGTGAACGAAACAATTTCTTTCAGATCTAATACTATCCTTGAATAAGATGTGACTGTAGTTCCTCTACAGCTTAAGTGATTAAAAAAAAGTTTCTCGCGTCCGATAGTATAGACTGTACTGTTCCGAAGGTCATTTGGTACATCATTGTCGTAAGTTAAATTTGTTATTCAACTTGCACACCTTAACTGAACGCGTTAAACAAAATCTATGATACATTGTTCGTACAGCCTGATTGACGTTAAGCCGGTTGAAAGATCCTAGGAAAATCGAATCGCGTCTAAAAAAAACTATACTTGATCGTGTTATTGTCATTACAAAGATATCGTTAACTAGGAAGTAAAATCAATCCTTTCCTTCTGTGGCTCCCGATGTTATCTATCAATGCTACCTTATCAAGATAGCTTTGTACAGTGAAATTCTACGATCATTAACGCTGTTTACATAAAAATACCTGTTTTTCCTCCACCAAGGTTACCACTCTACCTGGCTGAAAACAAAAATAACGCGTTATGAGACTCTCTTATATGTTTTCAAATCAATGTAAAATTGAATGCTCTCTACCTTTTCGGAATCACCACGATGCCAAGTGCTTCCCTGATAAAATCGCCGGACGAATCCATCGATATGGCCGACAACGCAGTATTCGAAAGGAAAATCGGGTTTCCAAATCAAAGAACCGTAGCCAAAAACCCACAAACTCCTTGAAGCATCGTCTTTACTATTTGATTGAGAATTAACTTTCTCAATCATGATTCTAACTTAGGTTGAGACAACGATTTATAGATCACATAAAGAGGGAATATATGCGAAGTCCTTCGCTCGAGGAACCGGTTTGGATCTCACTTTGCGCTCCTCTGTTTACATCAGCCCTGTAAGTCGCACGTGCCTTTGTGACGCAGGTAAACGAAGTTTACACATTCTGATTGGTCAATTGGGAAAAACCCACGCGGCTTACGCAACACGGGAGGAAAGAGGACTAACGCCACTGCCGCATGGGAAACTTTCACAAATATATATATAGTAATAACACAACAAAAACATTCTATCTGGTCAGTTCATGACTCCAAAAACTTTCTTTCAAACGACACAATTCTGTCTTTTTTTTCGCTAACCACGATGGAATAAAAACTCTACTTCCTCCTCGTTTTAGTGCTGTCACGCAATTATGTTTTCGCTCAACGCAGTACGCCAACGTGCTGATGTAAGTTCCCAACACACGCTATTGTATGGTGGCCCGTTAGTATCGCACTGTTTTAATCTAAAAATGGAAATCAACTCTTTTTCTATAAAAAGAGTTTAAGTCACTCGCGTTTTAAATTGCATTTACGTTCAATTCTCATAGTTTTTTCGATTTAGGACTGACTTAATCAAAAAGCTTGAAAAAAAATCACACATTTGAACGGACGAGAGAGTGGCGTGAACTTGCTAGGCAAATCAGAGAACAAAGCGAGGGATTACTTTCAATCGCTTTGATAGGCTTTTGGAAAATGTTCATCACATGCCTTTTCATCAACAAAATAATTCACCCAGTGACAACATATAATTTACCAGAAAATTAAAAAACAAATTTGAATACTCTCCAGTCTACATTTCTGAGATCATACCATTTGAAAAGAGGTTTTTGTAGACATTAACCACGTTTTCATACCTTTGTTTTTATTCCAGCATAATTCCCACTTCTAATAACTATCAGGATCTAACATATTTTGCAACAATTTCACTAGAGAGCAATAGCTTCTTGCAGATCAGACCAAAATAGTAAATTCTCAAGTTTTCAGATCATTATAGTCACCCTAAATTGTTATTAAGTTTTGTAGGAATATTTACAATCTGACCACTTGAAACATAATCCCTGGATTTTCTAACTTCATTCAATTCTAGAAGGAAGTTTGCTGATTACTTGTTAACATGACCCCTTACTGTTAAAGGTCCAAGTAAGTCTTTGACCCCTAAAAGTAACTTGTATGTAATTTCATCTTTCTTATAATATCACCTCTGACTCATATATTATGGTCATGTTGTGGTGCATGTGTAATTTTTTGATTTCTCACAAATATGTCTCATATTTCCACAACCATTAATTTATTTTTTGTTTTTCCACATATCATTTCTACAGCATAATTTTTGCATTTTATGTCAATTACATGGCCCTTCTGATATCATATTTCATGCCCTTTTTGCTTGTGTCTTATTTTGTGTTGAGGTAAACTTTCTTACAAATGTTCATGCCTTGTATATTCCCTTAGCAATTGGTAAGTTTTGTCTTGTGGTATCTTTGCACTCATTATTCTTGTCTAATACATTAGTGCATTTTTGCAAAAGTTATTTTTCTGTTCCTTAGGAATTTACTTATTCTTCACGTGTGCATTAGAGTCATTAAATTGAATGCTGAGTAAATGTGTTTGAGTGAAGCAGGCCCTTGCCCCCACAGGTCAGAGGAATAAAAGAAATGATCACCAACTACAAAAGCTCTACATTGTTAAACAAATTCTCTTTGTCAGCAACTAAGGAAAGAGAACAGTATGGATAATATACAGACTGATGTTACATGGTAAAGGGTAGTTTCTTCTCCCTATAGCTACTAGTTTGCTTATAAGTTGTTTGACCCATTTATTCAAACTCAACTGTGTTACACAAGTTACCTTGGTCAAACAAGTCTCTTTAGGAATGCAGAAGAAGCTTTTCATCGCAGTAACTAAGAAATGGTTGTGACAGAAATGGTTCAACCCATGTATTCAATCAGACAGTGATCTAAGAGACACACCAAGTGTATTACCTTAACAACCATTTTGACTATGGTTGATTATCAAAGTTTTCCTCTTCTGGTGCCAAGAGACCCACATAAAACTTTTGCAACAAGGAAGCAATGTGATTCTTAACAACTCTGTGTGCAGGTTGGTTGTGGAAGCCTTCTGTTGCATCTCCTCCAACATTTTTAAGAATGGAATCCCCACCAGGATGACTAGCTATGTAGCTTGATACATTGTACACCTGGAGACAGAGTAAATGAAAGCCTTTTAAAATGCCAATCAACACATATTATATTCTCTTGAAATATCTAACAATGGCCTTGCTTACAAGGAAGAGAGGACACTAAAACAACCTACTGTGATTACAAAATTGGTACTCTGTTTAAAAGGACTCTGAAATCTCCCAGAGGATTCTTTGAAAACTAGATGGCAGAAAGATTTCAGCACACCTGTCATTTCCAATGCCTTCAATGCAAGTCTTATTTCTGGAGGCCAAAAGCACCAAACAACTAATGAAGGTCAATCTTACACAACTGTGTTCAGCCCATAACTAAATCATGGTACAGAGTGAACTATCGCACTTTTGAAATGGATGATGCAATTTTTTTATCTCTTTTTTTCGGTTTGGTAACGTCTAGGATTGAAAGAATGTCTCTACACCAAATTTAAAGTCAAGCTCTACCAAAATTCCGAGTTAAAAGTTCACAGTGAGCTAAGGATGAAACGGAAAATCAAGACTAAGAGTTAGCCTACAATCTGCGATGAATTCGTATGCAAGCTACCAAAGAGGAACAAGAGATCAGTTTACAATCTCTTGAGAGGAACGAACTCTAAAATTGGAAAAATTTTAAATATTTAAACTAAATTATACAATGGTTTTTACCTTCCCATCGATCACTATCCAAGCGTTGTCCACCTTGTTGTGTTTCTGAATTTCTTTCAAAGAGACCATACGATCCATCTGTCCATCAAAGGAAGGACGCCCTCCTTGGAGCCTACAGGAAGTTTTTGTCGCAAGCAAATTATTTTTTCAAAATTATTCGTCATACAATATATATATTTTGATAAAAAGCGCATCCAAATTATTGAAGCTTGCGTTAGTTACCATCATAACGCTGTTAGGTTCGATCGTGGGCGCAGGAATGGTGCGAGAACAACTTAACCCTCGGTACGGGGGTGGGGACTAGCTCTAACCCCGGGGAGGCTTGGCGTGACGGATAATGATTTTCGCAAATGAGGAAGACACACAGTCTCAGTATTCTTTCATGTATCAAGAAACGCCCGTTATATTCTCTTCCACAGAAACCCCGGTTCCAACCCCGCCGATCGAAAACCACATACATTAGTTAATAAGCGGTTACTGTTAGTGGCAATGTATTGATTTTTATTCTCATTTGAGCGCGAGGAGAGCGCCTGGGGAAAGAGAGAAGAAAAAACTTGCAATTATAGGGATACTAAATTACGATGGTGAGTGAAGAACATCCTCTCTTGTCAACTATTGTTTAGCTTTTAAGGTGCACTAGGCTACTGTAGTTTGACTGTAGTGAAATGGGTGTTCTTCTCATTGATTTATTGGTTTTTGTGTTTTACCTACTCGTGAACAGTTTCCTTTCAGTATTCAGTTTCCTACAGGAGATTCCAGACTTCTCATTATGAAAATTTTTTCTTGGGTCAAATTTAGGGAAGTTCTTAGGAGGGGGTATTAAGATTGGCAAATGATGACAGACAACCCCCTTAATACCAAGAGATCACATGATCTTTTGGCAATACTTAGCTGTATTCCAAGGACGAAGCAAAAGACTATCTCCTTGTCAAAAACCTCTGATCTTTCATAAATATATTATATGAGTTTATTTATGGTTAGTACTCTGGACTTTGCTTTGAGAGGTCCGGGTCTATTGCTTTGTGTTCTTGGTCAATGGCAAAACACCTTACTTTCACAGTGCTTTAATCTTGTTTTCACCTTCAAATGATCTAATGAATAGCTAATCAAGTGCGTCTTAAAACTTTGTACATTTATTAGCCCTCCTCTGCAAAACATCAATGTGAAACCACGAGAATTTGAATGGCCAGAGAACGGAAACCCCTATATAGCAAATGATTTCAGTTTCCATTTTTAACTCAAAGCTGCTCACACTTTATGCTGAAGTTGAGGTGTAGCGCCGTAAGAGACGGTTAACATGTCCAGCCATTTAGGAAATTCTAACTGAAAAAAATCAATTCATTTTTTTGATCAACGTTTTCATTGGCGTTCCGTCCTTACTTCTTAAGCTCGCTTCTAACTACTACTGCTAACACTCCCTTCTGTTCCTCTAACACCAAAGCTTACTAATGAAAAAGGAGAAGTCCACTTTCATTTCCTTTGTCGTATTTCGTATGTTTGTTATGCTTAGGTGTGTGATTTTAGCTGAGCGGACCGCTTAGATCAAAGAGAGCCCCGATTTGGTTGTACATGGAAAATAATTATACGGTTGTCTTTGAAAACTGAGATCATATACAACGAAGGGCTATCCGTCAGCTTTTTTACCTTTACGGTGGCTAAACAGCTTACCCCTTTATTATACGGTTGTCTTTGAAAACTGAGATCATATACAAATCCTCTGACCAGGAAACAGCCGGTCTGTGGATAAGTAAACAGCCTCATAGTTTCTTAAACTTGAGTGCAAAAAAAGTTAAGTTTCGAGTAGTACTAGTATAATTGTACAATCTGCGTACGAAGACAAAAACGGAGTGATTTGAAAAGGAGCCAAAATCAGGGAAAAGAGCTAAGTTTTAATGAGTTCAGACAATTCATCAACCCCAAATAACTCTACGCTGAACAATTAAAGTTTTATTTTTGTTTCTCTTTTTGTACTCCTGGACTTACATATCCACTATAAAACTTACTATGTCAGTGCGTGTTTACAACGTTTGTTCATGAGAAAAAGAGGATCGATATTCATTCTCTCTTAATTCAAGTCAATAGTTTTGCGAGGGTAGAGTCCAGGGGCGTGTTACGGCTTTGATTCCTGTTTCTCAGGAACACCGACCCATAGTTTAAACTATAAGATTTTCTATTACTTTTCTTAAAAACGGAAAATTTGATTTTAAAGCTGCCGATGGCTTAAAAATCGTGGTGTTTACACCCACACAACTGGACATAGGCCATATTACAGTTGTGTACTTAGTTGCCAAGCAATTTTTGTATCATAACAAGGTCACCCTTAACCTCACTCCTAGTCAAAGGCTTCGCAACCAAGCACGAAACTGTAAAACGGACTATTAATCAACTCGCTGAGGAATTTTAAGAGCCTTTATAACATTCTTGCGTTTTAGTCGTTGCTCGTGCATTACCGTGCAAGACAATTTGTTTTTCCCTTACCTGTATGCCGATATTTGAAGGCTTACCCCGTGATGTTTTAGCACATACATCGCAAGTTTGACAATATTTTCAGACCTTCGCGTCGTATTCTAACTACAGATCGTGTGTAGTCCTCCCGAGGTTTGATGCTTTCTCTTTATGGAAATTACGGGTGTTTACAAACACGGACGTGATCTTGGAGTGAAGACGGTAATTTTCGAGCTCGGTCGGTCGAAGGGACGAAGATATAACGGTACGTAAATTTTGGTTAGGTTTTTTATTATTATTAATGATTGCGCGGATTATGAATATCTATGACTTAAAAAGTTGTTTCTCCGCTACAAATTTTCAGAGGTATTTTAACCTCCGTGGTGAATTTTGAAAAGCTGACGTTTAGTGCATAATCAGAGCATCGAGGATAGTGCTTAAATTATTGAGCATAAGCGCGTTAATCTGCGTTTCTAATATACTTCTACAATAACGTTTGTAGGGTCGTTTTCATTACTTTGTAGGAGTTTCTGGTACTTTTCTATATTTTTTAAAAGGATATATACTTCATTGAAGGCCTGGCTACTACCCTACGTATTTAACAAGAGATAAATATGTGTAGCCGGAAATTTTGTACAATATATTTTTTTTCAAAGTACAGTAAACCTTTTATACCAGGCTTTTATCCCTAGTTAGATTTACCTGTCTGTGGTAGGGCTGCGGAGTGGGGGGGAGAGGAGGTTGAAGGGTTCTCAAACACTCTTACTAAACAATGGAAGCATATTGCAAAATTAGGCATAATGCTATGTTTTCAGGGTTGACGAGTAAAACCATAATGCTCGAATTTTCGAGCATAATACGTCTGACCTTGCATATAGCCCTAGACAGGAGCCCATTATGGGCTCGTGCCCTAGAAATATCCAAGTGCCTCCTTGGGACTTGTAACCCCTGGAGGAACGCAACTGCGCAATACCTCATAAGTTTGATCGACAGCTCTATTGAAAGCATTCCACCAGAGGTGGCGTGAGGGACCAAAGTCCTCTGTTGTTGATACCACAGTCTCCAGTAACAACTAAGTTGTCTAATCAGCCGTTTGCAGAGTGTTACCGTGGACCTAAATACTTTATTCCGGTCTTAGCAATACAGATTTGAAATCATGGAAAAGCATGCGATGTTTCTGTTGTTGATATCGTTTGCAGCATCTTTCGCCCAGAAACCGGTTGTCAGGCCACTGAATATTGCACACCGTGGCAGCTCCGGTAGATTACCTGAACACACCGTTGAGGCATACAGGTAGGAACTTCACTTTTCAAATTCCCATTGCCTGATCGAAAGAGGCAAGAATTTTGATATAAAATGCAATGCAGAGACTTTCATGCCGTGTTTCGCGAGCCAAAATAACAACAGTCATATAGATCGAAAGGAATATTTTTAAGTGCAACTAGTATAATTATGACAGGTTGACCTTTGATGATAAAAATGTGAAGATGCGTGAAAGACAGCGATACCTATATCATTTATGTTCCTGCATGAAAATTGGGACTGAAGAAAAAAGAATAGGTCTTAAAATCGCTTCCCACGCTACTTTAACACGGAAAATAAAAAAAAAAAAACAAAGTCATTGACTAATCAATTATTTCCTTGTAATATTTAACACAAAGGACAATAGGTTACACTCCAGTGCTTCGTCTGATTTACCGGTATTAAAAGAAATTGAGTTGTCTTAAATTTGAGCAAATAAAGTTGACAAGACTGAGTGAAATAATGCCTTTAGTCAGATTTCTTGAAAATTAAGGTTCGTCTTTCCTCGGTAGGCAACGAAACCAGCCGTGAAATTATAGTACACTTGTTCGTACTCAAACTTACAGTTTGCATTTGAAAGCAGATTGCTACAATTTGTCACATGAAGGACTTTGCGGGTAACCCGAAGCATAAAAACACAAAACAGTTTTAAGAATTTCAAAGGTTTGTCAAGTGCTTGAAAGGTAACAAAACTCTGGGCTCCACTTGGAGACTGGAAGTTTAGCCAGTTGCGATTTATCGTCGCCAGTAGCTTTGAGAACAATCGGAGCCACAGAGAATTTTTAAAATATGACGTTCTTTGTGTGACACGCGTTACACGAAACAAATATCATGGAGATGTTTGCTTGTTTTTCGTTTTTTCACCGGAGGGAGAATCGTTTCCCATTAAATACATGGCCTATACAGATATTGTTAGTTGTTCCATTTGTCTTTGTGTCCATTCATTTATTTCTTTTGTTGGTTCGTTCTTTATTGTCGTCATATGCAGGATACATTTTCTTTTCATGTGAACTCTGTAGCTCATTTTTGAGCTCTCATCGCCACCCACTTAATGATGAGGGACTGATGACATAAAATCCTTAACACTTGAGCTTCGAGGCAGAGAAAACTGGGGCGAATCGAAGGCCATCTTCATTTGCCAATCGCGAAAGAGGCTTCCTAACCATATCATGTCCACTGTAAACAATTTATGTCCATGTTATGTCCATTCTAATCCATTGGCACCTTTCTAGAGAGACCCTAAAACCACGATTGATGTATGTAAGATCATGTTCTCTTGAATTAACAAATAGAGAAGCCTTGACTGAGCTCTCTTCTGTTGTTGAGTACGCAGGAAGCAGCTAGAACACGAAAGAAGTGTGGGGAAGGTTTTCGTTATATGTCGGAAGACTTTCGTTATGTCACGATAAAATCAGTCGAGTTGATTCCCCAATGAGGTTCGGTAATATTCTCATACCCCCCTCCCATTGGCAACAGGGGTACTGGGTCCAATTTGTATGTAGTACCCCATTTATTCTCTGTTGGCGACGACTGATCCTCCTCCTTTCATCCGTGTGGCCCCCTAAAACCCTCCGTGCGCCCCCTCCCCCTCCCCCTCAGGCGCGATAAATAATGACTGACTTCCTTATGTTTTGAACAGGTTGGGTGTTGAAGATGGCGCAGACTACATTGAATGCGATGTCTGTATCACCAAGGATCTGGTGCCCATTTGCCGCCACGAGAGCTGGCTGAATCACACCACTAATGTCTGGGAAAACCAAACCCTTCACTCCAAAGTGAAGACTTACAACGTGTTCCAACCTTATTCAAACACTACTAAGACTATCACCGACATCTTCACTGTGGATCTCACTTTGGCAGAGATCAAAACCATCGGCGTTAATCAGAAGTATCCATTCAGAGATCCAAATTTTAACGGCTTGTTTAAAATTCCTACACTTCAGGAGTACATTGATGTCGCCAAATCTGTCAACAGAGTTGTAGGAATATACCCTGAGATTAAAAATCCAGAGTGGGTAAATTCGTTAGAAATTTTGCGAAGTAAAAACACAACTTTCGAGGATGTGGTTCTCGACGTTTTGCACAAGAATGGATATCGTAAAAAAGACTCCCCTTGTTATGTACAGTCTTTCAGCGAGAAAAGCATTAGAGAATTGAAGACGAAAACCGAGCTGCCTTTGGTGAAACTTTTTGATTATCCCTTTCCTGAAGCAAAGCTCCAAGAAATGTCCTCTATCTGTGCTGGTATTGGTGTTTGGAAGAACCTGATTATACCACAGCTTAATGGTTATCTGCAGAAAACAACTGATCTCCTCACCAATGCACGCAAGAACAACCTGGTGGTTCATGCTTACACGTTCAGGAACGAAGACAAATACTTGGCGTGGAATTACACCCAGGATCCTTATAACGAGTATCAAAAGTTCTTTGATCTTCAGGTTGATGGATATTTTACAGATTTCCCTGCCAGCCTCAAGCGATTTTTGGATATGAAATTCACTTCTGAACTGACGCCAAAACCTTGTCCCAGTGGCGTCCCTGGGACACACAAGGGTGGGTATCCTGTGCCAGCTCTTGTTCTCATCGTCACGCTTATCCATAAGTTTCTCAAGTAGGCAATTACTTGGTTTTTCTTTTCGTTCTGCTTTTTCCTACTTGCCAAATATTCGAACCTTATAAATTCAGTTTACTGAACAATTTTTCAATTGGGTGTCAAAAGTAGTCCAGGTATCATTGGTTGGTTTTACCTCGCTCTGTCATTGGTACATGCAGAACACCCGTACCACCCTCTCAACCAATTAGATGCGAAAGTAATTTCAACTGCGTCCTGGTCACGCGAGATTCCCGCGCTTTTATCGATAAGAGCTCCATTACCCCAGTAATTTCAATTTCTCCAGAGATGCATGCATATTTGAGTTATTTTTTCGCTTCTTGACGGAATTCCTTCGCATAGAATGAATTCTTCACCTAGTTGTTCAGGAGTTTAGGAGAACCCTAAAGACGTGATGGCAGAACAAAAAAACTGAAAGTGGTTTCGGACGAATACGAACACAGATTGCAATCGACATGCTGAAACATCTTAGCTGAAGTTTTAAAAATTGAAAAACGTGAGTAGTTCGGGCCTCGAGGAGAAGGTCGCTATTAGAGGAGGCTTAAAAATTGTCTCCTTCTCCTTCTTCTCGTGTTCACTTTCTCTTTCTCTTTTTCTTTCTTCTTCTTCTTGTTTTGTTTTGTAAAAAAAAAAAAAAAGAGTATCAATAACCTGAGTTTTGTTTTCATCTTTTTAGGCAGGTTGCATGCTGTAATATAGTAACTGATTTGCCTCTCTGTTGTGAAGTGTACAGTGGTTTATCTAAAAGCGTGTTCAACAACACTGGTGCACTGTTTACTTGTCAATTACAATTTGATTTTCGACTGATAAACTGTGACGTAATAGTTCTTGTGACAAGCTTGTGAAATAGGACGCCTCTGATTGAAGAATAGAGTTAGACTTGAAAAGTCGTTACCAAAATAGGAAAACTTGTCAAGAAATGATGTCTATGCATGTGATTAAAAACATTACTGAAATAAGGGATTGCTAGTGTTTTTTTATTAATCAAAGATGTCATACAACTCTCTTTTTCAATGTCTCATAAGTACCGTTATCATTCGATTAAGCGCCTTGGGTGTTCTAGTTTCTAGGACTTTGGAAGTGGGTGCTCATCCGCGGTAGACACATATTTGTGGCCGGGCAAATATTCAATTATCAATAATTTCACTAGTAATTAGTTGATTTAGCAACAGACAATTAATAATAAAAAAACGCGAAGATGAACCATACAGCGAATTTAGAGATTGTAAGCCGGTAGAGAGATGATAATCAATACTCCTCTTGTGCACTTCAGGTTTTTTTCCTTTTTTTTAGTGAGATAGGGGAGGGGTGGCTGCCTATAAGAGGTTGGGCGCTTATTAACTTTTCCTACCTTAAAGGTAGATGTTTATTCGAGGTGGTGCGAGGTTCGCTGTATGGTTCATCTTCGCGTTTTTTTATTATTAATTGTCTGTTGCTAAATCAACTAATTACCTAATCGAGGTTTGGAATGAACATGCTAAATATACTGTAAAGCAGGCTTCGAAGGTCGTCATGATTCCAATTTATGACGAAGTTCAGTATAATAACTTTGCACACAATCCACAAAAGTTTCTCCTACAGAACAGCATTCGTCCCATTTGTTTTTAGATTTACTGGATAACGACTCCATATTTTCACTGCATTGAAGACATCGCTTTAAGAATCTGCCGAAAGAAAATAAATATTTTAATTCATTACTTTGGCTTGGAAAAGTAGGATCAATATCAGTGTCTGGGCAACTGCCCACCTACCCCTCCCCTGACCCAACATTAACCCTAAGTTGTTGGGTTAGGGGAGGGGTAGGTGGGTAGTTTCCCAGATACTGATATTGATAAAAGTATCCCTGAGAAGAGAAAGTGCATGAAAACAAACACAATTGGCACATACAGGTACACGTATACAGGTCAGGAAGGAGACCAAATTCGATGTTGATAATATGCTTTAAGCTCTAAAATCACTTCATCTTTCCTTAAAAATAAAAAAAATATTAACGGCCTGCTTACTTGATGAATGTACTCCTATGCCTATTTTCCGAGCTCCTTGGAAGCTGATGCAATTCTTCAATAACAACCAGCACCATCAGCTGCAGAACGGCACATATGAAGGGCAGGTGGTTCCACAGACGTTTATAATTTGCTCTCTGCCGCTGTCGGAGCTCTCTATTCTTCCACTGTTTGTATCTCATGGCCGCTACTTCACATATCTGATGGAGACAAGAAAATACACAGCGTTTGTGAGGTGCAGGTATTCCTGCCGTAAAGCAAGGATCGTCCGCTTGTGCAGTTATCGCATATTTTCATGCAACATATGTGATTTAGTGATTAAAAGGTCGTGATCGATATTTTTTTGCAGTTCACACGTACTTTAGTGGTTCTAACCGGTAGGGTAAGGTTAAAATAAGAGTGAATTAATACAGGCACCATCTGCGGGACATAGTATAAAAGTAGGAGCGCTTTTCATTGAAGACTAAACTTCGTGTCCCTTGAGTAGGGCTGCTCCCTTAAGGGTGGCCCAAATGTTCAACTCTTCAACCCCTGAGGGTGACTGGCCTGTAATTTCTCCGTTTAGTGTGATCACCCTTGAATCAAATTTAAATCTCATGACAATAGAGGAAATGATCACCATTTAAGAAGCTCCTGATTGTCAAAAAAATTCTCCTTTGTCTGTGCCATAGGAAATGTAAAGAGAACAGTGTGGAAAATGATTAACCTTTAAAACTCCCATGAGTGACCAAGACAGAATTTCTCCTTACAATATCAATACAATATCAACCAGATAGGTGATGAGAATAAAGAAAAATACCAATTAGGGAATTATTAGTTGATCCAATATCAAATCCTCCAAACTAACATTTCAAGTTCTAACTGTATGGCAGACTGTAAGGAGAATTACTATTGAGATCTTGGGAATTAAAGAGTTAACTGGAGCTGTAAAACTCATTCCCTGGCTCCATCATCTTATCACCCCCATGTTGTGGGTCTCACTCTCTCTCTTGCTCTGGGAATTGGGAACAAGGGTGTGCCTGGGAACAAGGTTGAAGTTTATCTTGCCTGCTCAAATGTTACTGTTCCATGTTGCACAATCCTATGTAACAACATAGCTATCTCTAGCTCTCCTTTGGACCTGAACAGAGTAGGAAATGAGGCAGTGTCCAAGATTTGCAAACATCTTGGGAAAAAAGTGTCAATGTTATCCAAATCAAATTGGCAAGGTAAGATTTTAGTTAAACTTTCTTCAGTAAAAATGGTTGATATCATAATAACAGCTTGGAGGGCTCTTGACACATTTGGAAAATGAGCAGCACTTTTGTTCCTCTCACAATCCAACTCCCCACATTCTTCACCAGATGGTTTTGGTAGATCTTTCCACTTCAGTAATGACAAAGCAAGATTGTGTACAACCTTTGCTAAGAGGGATATAGGATGAAAAAGGGACTTGTAAAATTTTGTTGCTTCACAGATCCTTGTGGTAATTGGGAAATTGCTGGTATCTGAGTTCAAATATGATCCAGCAAATGCTATACAAATGCACAGAATGTGATTGGCTAACTGCTGTGAAATCTTGTGCAGATCCACTTCACCATGGCTGATGTGGTCTCTAATTCTTGGTCCCTCTGAATGCACAAGAACATCAAGCAACATTTCCATGAGGGCATCTCCTAATTCCTGCCTCAAAAGGTTTTCTGAGCCATCTTGTAAAACTGGTGCAAGAATCTGAAGTAAAGAAAAAGGAAACAAAATGAGCCACAATTTTGGACAAAATTGTTGGGATATTTGTGCCTCATTAGGGCCACATTTCTCTGAGAGTGATTATCATCTAATTTCTCCTTACAATTTCAGCCTTGAATCAAACATTGAAGTCATGAGAATAAAGGAATTGATAACCAACTAAAGAAGCTCTTGGTTGTCAAAAAATTTCTCCTTATCAGTCTCTAAGGAAATCTATAGAGAACTGTTAAGATAGAAAATATGCATAATGATTTTAGGGTGCAAAGGGCTAACTTTTTACTTCCCCCCAGTCAATCTAGAATTTGTAAAATGGTTGTCTTGAGCTAGTAAGCACAAGTAAGGCAATATCTTTAATTTAGTGCTGAAAATTTACCTCATCAAATGTTGTATACAATACTGTTGATTCTGCCGTTAGAACTCTGTGTGGACAGTTATTTATGGAAGCAAATACTCTCCTTAGACCATGTTCTAATTGAGGGAGCAACAGCATGACACACAAATCAAATCTGAAAGGGAGAATACATATTGCGAAATTATTAAAGAATAACTAATAATATCCTAAAATGAAAGCTTCCAGGATTCATCAAGCTGAAGACAGGAAAGTTTCAGAAAGTGCAAGAGGAAGGGAAAAAAGTAGAAGAAGATCCTGACATACCTTTGCTCTTTAAAGTAATCAAGTGCTGTAAGCCACAATGGAAGCATATTTGGAATGATAAAGAAACTTGAATTAAGTAAATTGAATATCTCAGTCATGTTACATGGTTCTAAAGCAGGAAAAATACTGTGAAGTTTATTGTCAGCACAAGTTGACAAGGCAATTGAAGGTCTCCTCTTAATCGGTCTTGAACAAAATGGAGGGTCTTTTAACTTGACATTCAGTGAGGCAGTAATCACCAGCAGCAGTGAGGCATACCTGGAGATGAACAGAAACTGAACTTATGTATTAATATTACTTGCCTGTGCCATACATTAACCTCCACCTCCCATGTTCTAAACATGAATTTCTTTACACTGTCTGCTGGACAGTTCTTATAATTTTAACTCTTAGAATGTAGTTTTAAATCAGAAAAATTTCCCCTACTTGATATCTTTCTAAGTTCTCAAGACCCTTTGCTTGAAATTGTATTGATATTGTATATTGTAGGGAGAAATTCCTTTCTGGTCAGTCTTTCAATAATAGTTTCCTGTTAGTAACTACACCCACATACTGATGCTGTCATAGTTTTTTCTGAGTGGAAATCACTTGTGGTAAAGAAATTTGGATAAATTTTACTCCTTTAATCTTTGCGACACATCATATACATACACTTGTATTCCTCAATAAGTAAGGGTTGGAAGAGTAGGAAAATTGTGGCTGGCTGTGGAAATGCAAGTTATAAAAAAGAAATGTATGAAAAAAATATATTCTCAGAAATTAGTAGGTGACATTAATTGTGTGAAACAGTCAGAATGCAAGAGATGCAATATCTGAGGAGGAAAATTCAATAATTTGCATCAATCAAAACATGCTTACTGAATAGGAACTTCTCCAGGTCCTGCAAAGCCATGCCACAAAATATTCCTAAGGTTTAGGCTTGAGGGAGGGCCAATTAAGATGTGTAAAAGCCTTATCACTGTTTCACCAAACACTTCTTTCAGCTCTTGTGTTGCTAACAAGTCTTTAAGTAGAGATGGACACTGGGGAGCACAAGAGTATGACAAATACACATCACCCAGTGCATGCTCCAAGGAAGACGTCAACAATAGCAGGCACAAGTTGTAATCAGCAGTGTTTGAAGATTTGAGAAGTGCGAAGCACTCTATAAATCTCCTTTCACATCCAGTCCAAAGAAGACTAGGCATGTATTGTGTTTCAAATTCATGTGGCTGTAGACTGATAAGCTCATGGTGGACAGCACAACAAACTGGATGTAACCTTGTCACAGCATCATGATAATCGCAGTTGGCATGATCGTTTATTATATCTAAGAGGAGAATAATAGTTAGTTTCAGATCAGTACAAAAGCGAAAGGGAAAAGGGAATAGCCATAGGGAATTTGGTTAACCCCTGACCTCTAAGAGTGACTAACATCTGATTTCTCCTTATAATATCAACCCCTGAATCCCACATTAATTAAGGATGGGAGAATATAGGAAATGATCACCAAATGAAGAAGCTCTTGATTGCTAACCAAATTCTCCTTCTCAGCACTCTAAGATGAGTATAGAAAACAGTATGGAGAACATACATGCATACTGGTGTTGGGGTGTAACGGGTAAAAGTATCACGAAAATACGCTTAAGAGAAAATTGCTCAACAAAATCAGGGATCAGTTAGAGATCAAATTTAAGTGGGATTTTAATTATATGGAAAGAGGAGTGGAGCTCTAGGATAATTCTTAATTAAGTTCATCCTTAGGCACTAACTAAAATGAGTGAACAGGAGAATGTAAGTATATTTCCAATCAAAGACAGTTTTCTCTATACCTTGCCCAAGAACTGTCCCAATTTTTTCCCATTGCAAATAACCACCCGCTGTAAAACCACAGTCAGACGTTTTCGAATTCATCGCGTTAATTCCAGCACCTTCAAGCTTTTCAAAAGATTCGCAAATCAGCTGACGAATATAACCGGACAGGAAAGAAGCAACGCTGTTCATCTTTTCCTGATGCAGAAATCCGCCGAGTTATTAAATCAGAGTGTTTTTAGAGTCTAATTATATTTCTTTCTTTCTTCTTAAAGGAAGTTATTCCTGGAAGCACTTTATTTATCAAATGCCCGCCATGTTGAATATTCAACTTTAATTGAGAAGGGCCTGGAGATGACCCAGACCCACTCCGTCTCGCTCTCACAACCCATAAGTGTACTTTCTGGTGTAGGCTAAGGTTAATGTGGCCATATGATGTTTTTCCATTTAGACCTCGCGTTCAAACTTATCAAATCCATTTTTATGATCAAGCATGATTTTAAGAAATATAAATTATAGCATAAGATACAATCTCAAGAACATTTTATTTGATTCCAATTTTACAAGAGTTTTATTCCTTACTTACCCACCCGTCCCCAAAATTATTATCAACGTCTCACTCTTTCCCGTTTGATGCCGAAGTATGTCCGAAAATTTGCCTACGTAGGCACCAGGAAAGCATTACTTGGAAACCGAAAAGTGTTTTTACGGAACAATATGCTTCTTTCTTGTGGCCACCTAGCAGTTTCGATCGTTCTTGATGGAAATCAACGTTCTATAATTCTCGCGTGAGCTGATGTGGCCATCACATCAGCTGTTGGCCGTTTGACAGTAATTTCCTTAGCGTGATTGGAAATTTAAATTTAGACAAAAATTAACCGATAGCGCGAGCTGCATCGGAGAGGGATACTTTCGTGTTGACCTTGCGTTGGCAGTTTCAAGAATTAGAGGCGATTTCCGGCAGACACAAAGGTATGAATACAATGATAACAGGCCATTTCAACGAACTCACTGAGTTGCTTAGAAATTTTAATACGCTGAGGAAATCGAGGATGAAGTGAACTTTTTATCAGTTTCCTGTCGGTTATTCATTCGTTTTGGTCACTCTTAGTACAGTCGATCACAGAAGCTAAGTTTGCTTCCTTTTGGTGACATGACTGTGGGACTGAAATTTTTCATCAATCGAGCTACGTAGGTGTTTTGTTTAGGATTACAGAAAGAGAGAGACAGACTCTTTGACTAAATAGAAAATGAAATATGGAATGAACTAATTTAATCGTTTGATCTCTTGATGAGGGTTTAAATCTCGCCTCACCAAAACACGAACAAGTCTGTTCAACTTCAGAGTCGCTTAGGCATTTTAAAGAAAACAAGCTTTCTGTAAATTATTGCTAAATTGATCATGAACTTGTGCATGACAGGATTCGATCAAATAACGTGTTTGTATATTTATGTCGGCTCCATGTAGGAACAGGTGGGTCTTGGGAGAAACGCTGTTTCTCTGCTGGTATGAACTTATCCAAAATTGTGTGTTGTTGGACCAGTACAAGCCTGCAAACTACTAATATTGTCACCTCCTAAAAGTTTGCCTCTACTTTGACCACACCCCAATCAGACATCTCTTTGATAATTTAGTTTGATCAACTGAGTTAATATTGGTACTTGGCTATTGTCAGAGTTTCTAAAGCGTACATTTCGAGTATGAGCTCTTTGTCAGAGCAAAATCTCTTTGGTTTAACACCTCTCAATTTAAGCAGAGGAGTGTTTTCGTGTCCTCAATTAATGCTAGGGCTCAGATTGTGGTAATGGATAAGCAAGAAAACTCTCTGCAAAGTTATGGCACCAGATAATACTCCTACTGGGATGTAGCTTGACCAAGTTTTGAACAGTCCAGTCCTGGATGCTTGAACATGCTAGATAAACTGGTATAGCTTTTAGCATTGTGATCCACTGAATGGTCAAAGTACATGATGTACTAAAACCTAAAGCACTGCTCAAGAGATAATAGTTGATTGTGACTCAGCATCAAGAATAAACTTATCCACTGCTTATAATGCTTTAGAGAAATCTAGTATTTACAAGTCAATCTTGTTTAAGGATTAAACATCTAGTAACCTAGCTTCCTATGTTGCTCCCCCAAGAGATTACTCTGAAGCAAACATCCGTGTTTTTATGGTACTTAACTGCAGGCTTGTCACCAAAAGTCTATAGGTGGCAGAAACCTACTCAGACCATTTTGTGCTGGCTTCCTTTAAATGTGATCAAAGATAGAAAATAAGTATTCTCGAACTGATCCTAACATCAATGTCTGCTTATTAAAAGGTTGCTCAAATATTTCTCTTAATGCTGCAAATCACATCTCAGAGAGTTTCAAATTTCACCTTTTGCGGAGGAGTTAGACTCCCCTTTGCAACATGCCATGCTTGCTATGCAAGCCTAATTAACTTCAACAGCCTACTCAGTTAAGATCATATATCTATTTCATTTTCTAATGACAGCCCTGAACCGACAGGAATATCGGTTTGTTCTTTTCTGAGAACTTAATAATGTATACAGACCAACTACATGTGCATCATTAAAGTAGAACAAAGAAAAATGTATACAACCTGGATAATGCTCAAGTAAAGTAAATTTGTATAGTACATGGGCTTCTGTGTATGTTAATTGGCACAGACAATTCTGTACAAGACATGTAAGTGTTTAACGTTAGCCTTCCTAACCTCTCCATAATTCTTGAATAAGTGTGAAAAACTGTTAAAAGAATTTTCTTATACAATAATATCATATTTATCTATTTCCTCTAAATGCTTCTAGGTTATGAACTGAACAGATGTGACTTATTGCGTCCTCACAAAGGGAACATTAGCACACCATGGATGGCCGACCTGGAAAGGTAATATAGAGAGTAAGATCTATGTGTATAACATCCTTACATTTAATAACAAACTACTTTAGTTTTGTCGGAGATGTTAACATCATGAAAAAGTTGCCATTAGTTTTCTTCTTTCTTCTGTCCATCCTTTTCAATTTACCGAGTCTTGTTTTTACAAATTTTTTCTGGGTCTAAATGTTTACTTCATGGTAAAGTTGCTACATAAGCTTCAGATTCAAACTATTTAACAAATGAAATTTGTCGAAGAAGGACAATTAAATGTTTTTCTTCTAATATTTCACCCAATTTTATGGTTTTCAAAGATTTGTTACAGGCCTCAGAAAAAAAAAACATGGAAACATGATCATAGGTTGGAGAGTTTTGATCCAAATGTCAAAGTTATCTTGGAGGAATACTTCCAGATGAGTTCTTTGCATGTATTTTATGCTATTTTTGAACAATGAATATGGAACTTTACAGCTTTAAATATTAGTCTTGCAGACTAATACTGCAGATAATTTATCAAAACATAATGTTTTCATCTTTAAAGGTTTTTGACAGAGGTAAAATAATTTGTTGACTGAAACACAATTTAGTTTATTGTTCAATTGAAAATTAGGCCAAATTTCACCTGTTGCCTTTTAAAATACATCTGTTTCCTGAACTTGGTAATGTAAATGACAAAAGGTAAGCTTTGCTGGTAAATTAAAAAGATATTCTTTCAAATTGGTATCCCATGACTGTCATATTGGCGACACACTCTACAAATCATACTATTTTAACAATTACCCAGTGTTAGGATAAAAAATTTTCTTGTCAATGCATATTAAAAAAAAAAAACAATATACGATACTTAAATCCTTTAACTCTTGTGAGTGATCAAAACAGAATTTCTCCTTACAATATTAATACAATATCAATCATTCAAGTCTTGAGAATTAAGAAAAATATCAAGTAAGGGATTATTAGTTGATCCACCTCCAAATTCCCTTAAGTAACATTATAAGAATTGTATTGCAGACAGTAAAGAGAAATGAGACTTTGGGAGCCTGTTTTACTGTTTCTACTCAGTTAGCCCTTTTGCTACAGAAGTGCTAAACATCAGCTCTTGGCAATGTCTATACATTTCTCTTGACTTTATTTTGAGAATTTTGTTTTAAATAAAACAATACACCTCTTGTCTAGGTATATTTTTCCTTCTTCATATCAATTTTCAGCCTTTGAATGTAATGATGTTGTAAGGAGGAATACCGTTTTGGTCACTTCTTTTAGTGAAATGGTTAAATGAATGATTTCTACGAATGAAGTATTCTATTTTTAACATTTGAACCCTTTAAGCAACTTTTCAAAGTGATTAAGACTAACTTCTTCCTTTAATATCCATACATTATCTAGGAAACAGGTACTAAGAATAATCAAACTTATCAAGTTATGATCTTGATCTAACACCAAATTCTCATAACTAATTTACAAGCAAATATGTAGCAGCCAGAGGAGAGAATCAACAATCAGATCTTGGGAGTTAAGAGGTTAATATCATAATGTTGTCATCTTCTTTTAAAATTTTTTTTATTTTGCAGGCAGGGAATAATTCAAAGCTAACGGGAAAATACATTGCTGGACGAGGAAGAGCCCTCAAGGAATTTTCAAGGACACAGCCTAAAGCAGAGGTTATAAATATACATTATTCTCACTAATACTGAAGTTAATTATGTTACTTAACTATGATTTTGATAATTTAATGTTTGGCTGATGTTTTTATTATCCAACCAAACATTAGGAAGGGTGCTCAACTGAAATGAAAAACACACTTCCTGTAGTGGTATTATTAATATTAACTCTCTACACCCTGACATCATAATAATATCCACACTGTTTTGAAGACATTTTCAATGATACTGACAAGGAAAATTTGTCTAGCAATCATAAGCTTTTTCGGCTCCAAGGAGATCATTTCCTTTTTCCTTTGTTAATATTTGATTCAGAATTAATGCTACAGGTTCCATTCCATTGACAAAAACAGTCCCCAGCTGATATCGGTAACAATAGTTTACATGGTGAGGCCAGGACTTGCACTCCATGTAGTAGAATACTGTACTTGTTCTGTAGACTGCTGAGTCCAAAACAGATCTTGCATGTGTTTGGACTAGCTGTTATTCAGAAATGAAAGTCAAAATTTGAATGGCAGTTAATATTTATATTATAAACATTATATTAATATAATATTAACTGCCATATATTAGTATAATAGATATATGTAATGAAAAACGCTGCACAGATCTATTGTGAATCAAAGATTTATTTACTAGTATTAATAGTTGATAGTTACCCTTATTTCTTGTTATCTGTCTACATGGCAATGTATTAAGAATATTGCTTGTGGTAGACCTATACATTCATACCAATTCTGGAACTTCTGAGTTTGAACAGAAGGGAAATGATAAAGACTCAAATGATGGTTTATTTGATCATATTGCAGACAGCATCTTGGAAGCATGTTTTTTGCTGAGTTTTACAAGAGTCACACCTTTTTTAATCTTTGGTTTTGTTTATAGGAGGTTGAAAGAAGAAAACAAGTGCAACAATTGTTTCTAAGTGGACAATTAGATGTTATGCTGGATAAGGTAACTAAACATGTAAGATTCATATGAACTCACTAAAAAATTCACAATCTTCCATTATCTGCTCCTTCAATCACATGCAAAATAAATCACAATTGCAACTTCGGTAGTGAAAACACATCCTCACTACTTAATTGACTCATCATAATATTACAATTGCCTGATTTAAATTCTTTTTGTCTGTCATCTTTTAACTATCTGGTGACTTAACATTGTTACCTTTGTCTTCTCTGTATAGTTAAATGGTACTGGTAAAAATGGAAGCACTTCAGATTCCATGTCATCCTCCTCCAGCCAGTTACAACTGGATGAGATGGAAATTGATTCCTATACAGAATTAAATGATGAAATAAATAGTTCAAAGGCCCCAATGCAAAGTGCACAGTGGCAAAGGGACATGAAAACAACACCTGCGTTTCATAATGACCTTGAAAACCACATAAACAGATTGAATATTGATAGCAGTGAAGATGGTGCTGCAAATAATAATCTTCCTCCAAGATTCAGAAACAAACAGCTTGGAAAGCACTTCAAAAAACAAAAGCCACCATCTAGATTACCAAACAAGAGTGTAAATGAGCGTCTGTTTAAGATGGGAGTGAGCCAGGAATGGGATAATTCTAATCAAACAAAAAGCCAAGATCCTGTGATTGCAGCAAATTACAACACTGAGAGCGTGAAGACAAATACAGATCCTTGGGATGATTGGGAGAGGTTGGTTGTGGCTCCAGTACATGTCATTGATGATGAAGATTTGGACGAAATTATTGCCATTACTGATAATGATAACTTGGATGATGTTATGGTACAACAGTATGTCAATGCTCTTCATCAGGAGAAGGCATCTGGTGCTTCCAAAGCCAATCGTTCAAAGGCCACACCCAGCCGCATTCAAGCCATTGGTAATCTCAAGTCAACTACAAATGCTGATTCTTATCAGGTTCCTCCAGGTACTATACCAAACCCACCCAAAGGACCAGATCGCTGGGGTGGCAAGGAACTCAAAAACATTGATGGTCCCACAGGTTGGGGTGAACTTGTTGAGGATTTTGGAAATTGGTATGATGATGGATCCAGTTGCTGGTCAAGGACATCGCCTAACACAGAGGTAATATTTAATTTTTTATTAATGGTTGGTAGTTAACTAAAAAGGAACTTAACTTGTGACTATTTTCTTTTCCACAGGACTCTACAGACAAATGCATTGGTGCTGGTACATGGGACACTGTGTTGTCATCCCCCACACAGGTACTACTTAAAGAAGCTAAAAATGACTCTTCTATGGATTTAACTGGTGCCACACACTGGTTAAAGGTGCCAGTGGAAAGCACAGAGTTGCAGAAGGAAATGAAAACAGCAGCTAAGCCCCATAATAACCAGGAAGACAACAAAGACAAATTGAATACTCCTGGAAGTGAAGATGCTTCCTCATTGAATAATCTTCCTCCAAGATTCAGGAACAAACTGGTAGGAAAGAACTTCAAAAAACAACAATCACAGCCTGGTAAACCAAACAAGAGTGTTATCGGTGGACAACAATTTGAGATGGAAGCCAGCCAAGAATGGGGTAATCCCAACGAATCAAGAAAGCAGGAACCATTTCCTGTGATGCCAGCAAAACATAGTAACCAGAAGACAAGTTTAGATATTTGGGATGATTGGGAAACATCAGTTGTTGCTCCAACACATGCAATTGATGATGAAGATTTGGATGAAATTATGACCATTACTGATAATGATAACTTGGATGATGTTATGGTACAACAGTATGTCAATGCTCTTCATCAGGAGAAAGCATCTGGTGCTTCCAAAGCCAATCGTTTAAAGGCCACATTCAGCCGCATTCAAGCCATTGGTAACCTCAAGTCAACTACAAATGCTGATTCATATCAGGTTCCTCCAGGCACTATACCAAACCCACCCAAAGGACCAGATCGCTGGGGTGGCACCGAACTCAAAGCCATTGATGGTCCCACAGGATGGGGTGAACTAGTTGAAGATTCTAGCAATTGGTACGATGATGGATCCAATCTGTGGTCAACAACAGAGCCCCAAGCAAAGGTTATAAAAATATGCATTGATAGTACAATTTATTGTGTATGATTTTCATAATTTACAAAAGTTTGATAGAGAGCACCCCCAGTTAGTGATTTTCAGAATTTTCTTTTAAAGATTTTGCAAGGATTTGTACTTAATTAGATGCAGTCCTGTGCTAGTTGCTTAGCAGGCCAAATTTCAGCTGAGTTATATTAGTGGATTTTGCAACTATATTACCTAAGAATTAAAGCTATTTGTATGTAGGTATGTATGTATGTATACTTATGTGACAACTCCTCTAATTGGGATTGTTGGGGCCAATACAAACAAATTAGATACAAACATTGTGAATAAACATCGTGTTTAAAAATCACAACTGGCTGGAGGCAGACCAGTTAGCTACATACAAAGTGTACCATGGAGTTGAATATGGGGAAACCAAGAACAAATCCATTGAGTAGCAGGATGGAGGGTTTGAACATGGGACCACTAGATTACAAGTCCAGCATGTTAACCAATCAGCCAGTGTCTCCTCCTCCTTGTATGTCTTTGTTCTAACTGACTGATCTATGCTTAATCAAAACTATAACAAAATTCTTGAACATGATTGGTTATCACCAACCCAATGTGAGCACTAATCAGTGTGTACACATCATAGCTGTAATTGAACAATGTAATAGGACAGTTGACATGTCACGTCTGTGTAACTGGACAGCATGTGTAACGTTTGCACACTGTTGTTGCACATTTTGCAGAGTTAACTGTTGTTGTCGTTTTTTTTTATGAAAAACATACAACCAATGTCTAGGTTCTTTCTTAAATTTTGTCATAGTTTTGGTTAATTGGTAACAGGACTTTGTGTCATCCAATACTGTCTGTCACCATACTTGTGATTAACAAATCACTCATATGATTACAGACTGAACTGAACTCCACCTGGTCCTCTTATTATTTAGTAGTCATCAGGTTACCTTAAAAAAAAAAAAAACTCTTAATGTGCCCTTAAAATGGCTTCTTCTTCTCAGGAAACTGTTGAAAAATGCATTGGGGCTGGTAAACATGGAAGCACTGGTGACTTTGTTTCCTCCTCCTCTAGCCAGCTACAACTGGAAGAGACTAAAGTTGACTCCTGTGTGGATTCCACTGGTGACATCCACTGGTCAAGGACCTCAATGGGTAGCCCACAGTGGCAAGGAGATATTAAAACAACATCTGTGTTTCATAATGAACTTGAAAACCACATCAACAAAGTAAATGTTGCTCCAAATGAAGACCATGACTCAAATAATAATTTTCCTCCAAGATTCAGAGATAAAAAGTTTGGAAAGTACTACAAATCACAAAAGCCACAGCCTGGACAGCCCAAAAAGAGTGTGAATGCACAGCAATTTGAGAAGGGAGCAAGCCAGGAATGGGATAATCCTAATTGGACAAAAAAACAGGAACCATTACCAGCAAAATTTAATACTCAGGAGACAAATCCTGATTCTGACCATTTTCCTCCAGGTACTATACCAAACCCACCCAAGGGACCAGATGGTGGCAAGGAACTCAAAGGTATTGACAGTCCCACAGGGTGGGGTGAACCTGTTGACAATCCTGAGAATTGGTATGATGATGGATCCATTCGTTGGTCAAACTCTTCTACTACAAGTGGAGGATGGAGTTGGAACTGCTGATCCGAAGCACAAATTATGTAACCTTTGGCCTGTGTGGCTGGGAAGGTGTTATCTGCTTTACCATAAACCCCTGCTCCCCTGAATGCGAGAAATTTCTTCTCTGGTAACTTAGCCAATCATATATCACTAATAGGTAAAAATTTTTTGTTTGTGAAAATGCATGGAGCAAATGCTCTGAGGGTTCCTCATTATAAAATGGTTGTTGACTGAAGGGAAAAAATAAGTACACTCTGGTGAGCAGGTACCCATATTTGTAGAATTAACTGCAGAGGCCAAAATTACCACCTGTGCACTGATATTTTGAAGTTATTATATGATGGTTTGAAATCTCTATCATTCATTTAGGGTAATTTTCCATTAATGTTTTTCTCATAAAATTATTATACAATAGAAAATACAATTAATATTATGATGATCATCTTTTTACAAGAAAATGGTTTCTTTACATAGAAATTTAAAATGTCTTTGACTATTTTCTAAAATCCCAACGTTTTATTTTTTAAAATTTTCCATTAGTAGAATAAAATTTCCAGTAATTGTACAGAATGAATTTCTATAGAATTTGCTTTTCAGACAACATTTGTACTCACAAAGGTGTTCACAGAAGTTTGAGGCAAAAAAACTGTTGGTCTTTTTAAGTAGAGCTCTTTCCTTTGTATATAAAAAAGAGCAACATACTTTCCATGTTTTGTCATGGTAAAATGCAAGGTGGGATGCTGCAACTGCAAATATTGCAACTACTGCTGTTCATTCAAGTGAACATTGTTTATTTAAAATTTACATCATTCAAACTGTTCAGACAGTGAGAGAATTGTCTTTTTGTTATACAGTACCATTATTTATGGCATCTGCAAAAAGATTCAGATAACAGTGGGATGCTCAAACAAGTACATGTCCTGTGAATGATTCTTGTTCAAAACAGTGCAATATGGGAAAGTAGGAACACCTGAGCTTTAGTAGACTTCACTGTAATATAGAAGTTTTGAGAGAATCTTAAACATTTTTTAAATTATTACAAACTCTTAAATGCTGGTCAGTAAGAGTAGCTGTAAAACTGTAATTAAAGGGACAAAGGATAATTTAGGATTGCAAATGATAAACATGAGAAAAATGTATGCTAAATTCCTTAAAACGGAAAATAGAAGCAGCCCAGTGGTTGTAAATGCCCTTGCCTTTTATTGACTGTATTGTGTTGGCATATAACATGCTCATGGTCTCACAATGGTCTTTACTGCACTTTGCAATAAAAGAATACTTAAGGTGTTCAAATTCTTCTTTGATTTTTCTCACAGAAGTAGTAAGCTGATACAGTGTGGGACTTAGGTGACCCTTTACACCCTAACATCACTATACATATTCTACATACTCTCTCTATGCATTTCTTAAGGTGCTGACAACAAAAGATTCTGTTTGGCAATGAAGAGCTTCTTGAAATGATCATCATTTCCTTATTCTGTGACTTTAATTTTTAATTCAAGGGTGATATTGTTAGGGAAAATGAGGTGCTGGCCATTCTTAGGGGGTTAAATTGTTCAAATAAATAAAAAAATTTAGCCTTATGAATTGAGTTCACAAGGGCACACAGAGTCACATGGACGTGAATTATGTTTCACTGCCAGTCTAGTGATTGAATAGAAATAGGTTACTATGAAATTTCTAGTAAGGGTTTTCCTCGTGGTGCATTGTCACTATCCTTGGATATGTCATTATTAAAGCAGTGAGTCATCATCCTTGATGCCTGTAAAGATTGATTAGGTTTGTCATGTATTGAAAATCTACATATGTTAACAATTTTTAAAGCTTTTTGTTATTTTTGTAGCAACATTATTTATCAATAAAATTGATAAACTTTACTCAGTCTATGAATGATTCATCTGTGGTCCAAACTAAGTATAATTTGTTAATTAACAATTATTCACCAAAGTGAAGGTGAATAGTGGTGGATATTTACTGAGCTGTGCAGCAAGTTAAATATCATCCACTTTCACTGACACTGAAGTAGATATTGATTTAGCATATTAACCACACCAATACCAAAAACTGAGTTAACCCTTTAACTCCCAAGATCTCATTAGTAATTCTCCTTGGTGTCTGCTATACAGTTCTTGTGAAGTTAGTTTGGAGGATTTGGGATTGGATCAACTTATAATCCCCAGGACCGGGTTGTTCAAAGCTAGGTTAAGATAATCCAGGGTTAGTGTGAATTCTGATTTCAGATCTGATAGCTTTAAAAGAAAATTCAGTGGAATTCTTTTTGTCTAGAATATGATTATTTGATGCTCTATAAAGAACACGGGAAACTATCCCAAAAAGGCATTTGAATAAATGAATAAAGAAATCCAGATTAAAATTTAACCTTGGGTTAGCACTAATCAACCTTTGAACAACTGGGCCCAGATTGATATTTTTCTTTATTCTCATCACTTGCCTGCTTGATGTTGTATTGATATTGTAAGGAGAAATTCTGTCTTGGTCACTCATGGAAGTTAAAGAGTTAATTTCTTTCAATATACTGAAGAATGGTCCGAAATTTAACTTTTGATGCATGATTTCTTCTCATCAGCTGTTCAAAGGTGAGCGCTACGTGCTATTCACTTCTGAACTAGCCGATCAGGGTGCATGAAAAGTACTTTTCACTTGTGTGGTATATTTTAATTAATAATATCAAATATTAGACAAGTTTTTATCGACTAATTCCTTTTTCTTTCTCTTGTGTTTGCTGCCATTTGGGCCCTCACTATTAGTGCTGCTGGATGCGTCTCTACCCATAGGAGGATTTGAGATGACTCAGGGAAAGGTTTACTGGGTCTGGTATCAGTACCAGACCCCTTGCAGAACTCCTCTCAGCTTGCCTTGCTAAGGCCTCATACAGGCAGGAAATGCTTGTGCTGAGTCACTAATAATGAGGGCCTGCTCCCACATTACAAATAATCTGGGCTTCAGTGAGGTTATGCACATGCCTCCCCAATAAAAATTAGCAGAGCACTTCCGTATAGCACCCCTCAGATGTACGTTAACCAAAAAATCCCCACAAAATGCAGATAAATTTACATGTAAGGGAGGATACATAAAAACATGCACATAAGCTATCAAAGAGTGAACCATAATTATGAAAATTGCACTCTTTAAGCATGATGATTCAATTATTGAACTTGGTTATGACCAAATATCATGTCCATAATGTTTGCTTTGTAAAATGTATTCTATATACAAGGCTAAAAAAATTAAAATGTTTAAACCAAACGTTTTCAGCTTTTAGCCTTGTATATAGAATACACCAAATATCATATTTTATCGATGTTTAGCAGATCACTGTAAGGGGAATTGACTTTTAAGGCAAACAATTGGACAACTTGCCACTGGCAAATCACAACATCAGATAAGATATAACTGTGTGCCATCTGTATTGAATCAGTTTTATTCATTCTATTATGTACATAAAGAATTGGATTCTTCATAAAATTGACAAATGTTCAGCAAACAGTGAAAACCATACAACAAAACCATTTTCAATCACCTGCAGTATGTCTTTACTGTTTGAGTTCACTTAACTGTGCCATTTTTTGCCGCCGGCGACATTGAGCAGCCAATTTTTTCCTTTCTATCTCTTCCTTGGAGTATTTAGCTGTCTTGGAACCTCCTTAAAAGCAGGAGAAAAATCATTTCAATCACAAATTCATACAAGTCAAACTTAATCACAATAGACCAATGACCAATGACCAATGAATAGCCAGGGCAAATTTGTTCCTTAATTAACTCTAATAATCTGGTGCCAGACACAGGCAAATTTAATGAATATAAACAGAATATTTGACCTTCAAAACCAGGCAGTAAGGGGGAAGTTAGTGTGGACAGATGAAAAAGTGAACAAATGCAGTCAAGTGAGAAAAATTCCACCATTGTGATTTTTCTCTCAAACCCTATCTCCTAGAGGGTATCTGAGTTGGAAAATAGACACCCACAGAGAGTTATCATTTTCTTTTATAAACAATAAGCTGAATTATGCATGCATTTTGATTAGTACTTACTTATGATCAATTGGGAAAGATGCATGTATGTAAATGAACACAATTAACACTTTTTTGCTCCTTTATTATTCAAAACAAGTAGATCCCATGTAGCCCCAGGGACCTCAACAGCAGTACAGTGTAGATCAGCAAAGACCTCAAACTGTGATAAGAACGTTACCAACACAATCAGCTACCCATGTGTGCCCCTTTTTGTTCTTACCACATGTTGATGTCACCTGTGATCTGTCACTGAACAGCTGCACAGTAACATGGAATCTACTTTGTTAAGTAAACTGAAGTATTCTTGAAACACATGTTATCACACAAGAAATACTCACTTTGTGTACTTCCTTCCGGTTTGTTGCTGTGTGGTGTCATGAATTCTTGATTGTTAGTGTTAATCTCCTGGCAGATTGTATGTTGTTGTACTGCTCTTTGAAGATTTTTTTGTGGTAGGGTGACACTGGTGGTAATCTTTACATCAGACTTATTTTGATGTGTAGTTGTGAATTTTTTTGTTTGTAGAGTAGTGCTGCTTTGGAGTGAAGAATGATGCACAAAGGAATGGTCCCTTTTTCTTGTGCTTTGTACTTGTAGAATGGGATTATTCTGCAGTCTAAAACATTGGTCCTTTGACCTGGTAATGTCACTCTTGTTTTTTACAAGAGCATTTCCTGTACCACACAAATCCTTTATTTTTTCCTCATTAACATTGAGCATATCAGGTTTTATGTACAACTGTGGCACTCTCCTGACAGTTGGAATGGTAACTTGCTGGGATTTTTCAACATCCTCAAGAGCAGTCTGAAGAATGTAGTCATCATCTGTGTCATCGTTAACAAAATCCCAACTCTCTGTAACAATACTATCGATGGTATCTACATTTGCATTAATTCTGTGATTTCTGGTAAGTGGTGGCTGCCCTAACTCATTGTTTTGCTGCATTTCTCCTCCACTGCTCAAGAATTGTGTGCTAGTCATAACTTGTGTTTCTGGAATAGCATTTTTAAAAACAGGAATCTCTATCTGGCTGAGAATCAGATCATCTTCATCAGTGTCCCAGTTCTCAAAGACCTCTAAGCTTTCAGATCCCCTTACTTTTACACCATGATTTACTTCTCCAGTGCCCTTGCTGGCTTTTTGTTGCATTTCACTGCAAGAAAGAGAGGAAAAAGAAATTTTGTGGAGCTGAACTCTAAGCAATAGGTTCTCTGAAAAAATATTATAAGATAAGCTTAATGTACCTTGAATTTTCTGAACTCTCCTTCCTAATCGTAGCTTCCTCTTCTGTAAAGGAAAAACAATTTAATAATAATAATAATGATAATAATGATAATAATAAAAACAATGATATCAATAATAACAGTACCATTTTAAATGATAATAATAACAACAGCATTACGTGAAACCCCAATAGAAACAACTGCCATAATAGGAAACATTCTGAAAAATAGACTTAATAAAATAAGGTCTTGATAGCCATGCTATACATTCTATTAATGGAGTCTCAGTCCCCATTTTAACCTGTTTTCTCTGCTGGAAGTACAAGAAGTTCCAGGTCCTGTTTCAGAAGTTTCATCTTGGATTTGTTGCATTTCCGAAGAAGTCGTCTACAAAAAAGATATATATTTTATTACCAACTTACAGCAAAACAGGCAGAAATCAAATTAATTTGAATAGTGATACAAAATGACAAGGAAACCAGTTACCTTGATCTCCGGGATGGTGTCTGGAATTCCTTGATCTTCTGCCCACTACTGCTGTCTCCCTTTCTTGAAGTATAACCACTGTTGGCCTGTGCTGATGTGTTGTTTTCTCTGGACATCCACAATGCTAGCAATGGTGGATTTGCTTCAGGGGTACTACCAGACTGACAGAAAAAAAAACTCTATAAATTACAGTTTGTATCTTGATAAATGAGTGAAGAGTACTGGTAAAATACCCAGATCATGGGTACCTATACAACCCTTTACACCCTAACAACAGTACATGTATATTCTCCACACTGATCTCTACACATTTCCTAAGGTGCTGACAAGGAGAATTTGTCAAACAGTTGAGAACTTCTTCAGTTAGTGATCATTTCCTTCAATTCTTATGACCTGCATGTTTGGTTTAAATGCAATACTAACATAAAAAGTAACTTTGGTTGATATACAGACCAATAGTTGGCTGATAAGGAGTCAGTGACTACCAAACACTCAGCCAACAATAAGTTGATATCTACATATCCCAAGAGTTAGCTCACATCTCTACCAACGCCTCAATATTGGTTAAATGTCAGTTGACCTTTGACCATCAATTGACTGTCAACCAGAATCTTATCATTAATTAGTTAACATATTACTACTGATGTTACTTAGAGTACATGTGATTCCAAGACTGCAGCTAAAGAAATAAATTAACCTTATCCAAACACATCCCTGTACTCCATTTACCTTATCAGCCAACTTTTGTACCAAATCTGAAATTTCACCTCCACTGCTACTACTGTCACTTCCATGGTGTTTCTTCCTTTTCCCTTTCAAATCAACAGAAAAATTTACTTGAGTACACAGTTTATTTCCTTGAACACATTCACATGAAAAAAATGGATGGGCTTCTCCCTCAATTGCATGACAAAAGGTCCAAACCAATAAACATTTTAGAAGTCAATGAGCTTTCCTAATGAGTCAGATAGTAGACAGCTGACAATCCGAGAGCCTCTTCACAAGGTCTTGGGATATTCTCCTTCTTAAAATGTTATTTTTGGAATGTAGAGGTTCTAGAATGCTATTTTATGCAATCTTTTGGAGGTATGTGCTAAGCAATACAGCAGTTGGTTGGCAACATAAACAAGTGTCAGGTACAGATTGAAGGAGTGCTCAACCAGTGAGAAAATGTGACATTGCACTTTTTTAAGGAAAGCAAAAATGACTTTTAGGGAAGTTGTCTGTTCATGAAATTTTCTGTAACATTGACTTGTTTTCATTTTTATTAGCATCCAATCATCAAATTGTAGACAAAAAAAATTGTTACTGAATTATCTGTAAAAGCTTTCAGATCTGAAAGCAGATTTCACACTAACCCTGGGTTATCTAGTAACCCAGCCACGAACTACCCAGGGCCAGGTTGATATTTCACTTCTATAACATACCCACAACCTAACATACCATGTGAAAATCTTGTAGGAGATGGTGAATTATTGTCCCATACAATCTCTAGAGACTGATCCAACAGTGAGTTATTACAACTGCTGCCTCCGAGGCGACGTGGAGTTCGCCGTAGTCTACTAACAGGAGGAGACCGGTTGAGGGCTGAAAGAAAAAAGACCACGACGTTAAGGTGAACGAACACTCAGTTCACAAACCACACATTCGCTCTGACGACGGTAATTAGATAACGGCGTAGTATGTGACAGTCTATGGACTTTGAGATTTTAGGCCACTAACCTAGTCTGTATATGGACGAAGGGCTACCGCTCGAAAAATCAGCTTTAGAAACCCTTTATTGCGACCAATTTATATTATCTACTACGTTAATAAAACCAAATTATCTTAAAAAGCCCCCCTTGTATTCTGCATTCAGTCCATGCACAGCACGACGATACAAATGAAACACTATTCCTTCACTGGGCATGGAAAAAACATTCACGCTAGCTACATGCCATTTCAATTCTTTCATCACTATCGCCATTTCATACCAAACATGCAACGCTGAATCTAAAGCAAATCACATTTTATCGACTGAAGTTCACTGACTGCTAGTTCAAAGGTACAAACCGTTGGATAAAACTTTGAAAAACATTAACAATTCATGTAAAGAATTGCAAGGTTTCCAAATGAACTACCTGAATTGTCGTGAGATCGTCCGGGAGTCTTGTCGATAGATCGTCGCTTCCTCATTGGAAAACACTCCGTAATATTCATAACACCGTCCTGTAGACTTTGAAATCCACCATAACTCCTCAGTGAAGGAACGCAACTTGATTTACGAGCGTGAAAACTCACAAACTCTCAAAAATAATCACAACTTCGCGAAACAAAATATGGCGGCAAATTTTTGAAAGGCCAGCCTCGATTTCACACAGAGCACCGAGTCGTGGTTGGTCGTCAGGAACACACTTGGGAAAGCGTGATCACGCGCGGATATCGCGCGATTCTAAACGATGCTTCATAAACTGCGTTTCATTCGGGAATGGGAGGGACACGGGGGAGGGAAGAATGGCGAAGGATCCAAAATGTGTAAATGTAAAATGTCTGAACTCTTGGGGTACACATTTAAATTGTCTTTTGAATTTAAAACAGATAGGGCAAAAAAAATGGAAAGTGTTCAACTGATCAGATCTCATCAATGACAGACCAACTCTCATAATTCACATTATGTAAAGTTTTTTGCATTCCCCTCTCCATTTTTTTCCCCATTCATGCAAGCTAAACAGATCATAGTAGCAAACATGTGTCAACAGAGAAAAACCTCACACTCGTAATCTTTGATGAATAATAATTTATTAGGGGAAGAGTTGTTCAATAAAATACTGAACAGTGAATGGGAGACTTAACCAACGGTGTGGGAATATTTTTACTGACACAAAGCATCTTAAGTATTGAAAAAAAAAAAATTGACAAAAATCATAATTAAGTACCATAGATGTAAAAAAGTTGGTTCTCAATCCACAGTAAGACAAAAGATACATCAGGGAGCAATTCTAAATTTGAAAATTAATGTTCATTTATTGTATCCCTTCCCTGATTTTCTTTATTGCTTCATAAAACAAAAGGAATCAGAGCTTTACGTGACTTTGGATAATCTTCAAACTTTGTAAGATACCAGCTGTAAGAAAGAAAGTGAAAAAAAATCATCACAAGGCTATTGTAAACAAAGACAAACAACACAATAACTACATAGAATAACCAATCATTAACACTACAGGCTGACACGTAAATCAACACAGTCACTTAGTTGGTTGGTCAATCGCTCAATCAGCCAACTGGTGAATCAATTCAATCTTGAGGGGTTGATCTCCGAAACTTTGTGGGGATTTTCCAACTTTCTTATTGGTTTCTTTGCAATTTATCTGTCAAGTTTGCTAACCAAAATGTTTTTCCCAATATGCATTAGGGGCCATTGTGGGAGATCCATTTTGAAACACGGAATTCCCCCACATGGTTTTTTAGGTTGGTATCTTGGGAGTCTTTGTACCAAATTTCAAGGCAACTTGTATAGTTTACTTTTCTATTTATTCAAAGGAGGCATATTCGCATAATTTGAACCTGGTGTTTTTTGCATCCAAACTTTTCCCAACAATTCACTCCTTTGGGTGACCACACGTCAAGTTATGTTAAAACTCTGAAAACTCGAAATGCCTTCCTCCAATAGGGACACAGAAGCCTCCTGCAGAGTCTCAGGAGACTCTCAACAAAAAACATATTTTGCTGGTAACTATCTAACAGTACCCTTGACAGACTTTTTGTTCAATTCTGCTGGATGGCAATTTTGCTTTCCACACTTTTTTTTCAACTCAAAAGCTGATTAAGCACACTGTGGCAAAACTTAATGTTTGCCTATTGAGTGAAAGCAGCAAAGATTGCCTAAATGACCAGCCTTTATCTGTTTCCATCAGATTCTTTTAACATTCCTAAAAACATAAACTTTTGGGCATTAAGATAACAAAAACTGGAAAAAAAGAACAACAAGACAGTCTGGACCACAAAATGTTTATAACATTGTTTATCAAACCCATAAATAAAGAATACATCTGAAATACAAATGGTGTCAGTATTCCCTTTTTGAATATAATAAGAACCAACAGTGGAAAAAAATGCAAAACTACTATCTTGATACACATGTGATACCTGTGATGTTGAACTGCTCTTGGGCCGATGTTAAAAGCAGTAAACAAGAAGAAGGCTAAGCTTGGAAGTGACCAACAGGCTATAGCAAAGCCAGCCCATTCAACTATCTCACCAAAAAAATTGGCTCCTGACACATAGGTGAACATACCACCTGGAAGATAGAAATTACATTTATATATGAAATAATCAGATCCGGATACAAAGAGAAAAAAAAATGCTGCAATGTGAAAAGAAATGTCTTGATTTTCAAGACTTGCAGTTCACCAGTACCAACTGTGAAAGATTCTTTAAGGTGAAATACAACTGTACCCAAGCAACATAGAATCTATATGTTTTTATATATTAAAATAGCAAATTGCTGTTAATGGTGACATCAACTATGCATCTGTCCAGTAAATCATAAGTATGAATCAATCAAAATGGGTGTATAATTCAGCTTTTCATATAATACCTCTTGGAATGTTGTACCCTGTTTCACCAGGTCTCCTTAAGTTGCGCAGAACGTGATCTGAATGGATGTTGATGGCCATCCCCATGAAAAATATCGCTACACCACAAACAAAGCGGGGACTTGATACGTAAGACATTTCATATCGAGCATATTTTGTTAAATATCTTGCCTGCATGTATCCATTTAATACACAAAACATAAATGCCAGAAATGACAGAAAAACAGGAGTCGGTTTCCCTCCTTTGATAAGCCATGGATAAATGAGTGACCTGGAAAGAAATATTGAAAGGATGATTGATTTGTCAATTCTCATACGTTATTTGATTGTCGATTTACTAAGACTGTAAGGAGAATTTTAGATATTGATCACTGCAGGTTGTCGACGGGGTCAGGGAATATCATCGGAAGAAAGAAACATAGCGGTCGGGACGTATATAGGGCATGCTAACCTTTGAGTGTAATGCAATAAAAACAAAGATAGCAGTGTCATATTGGGAGTCAATCCAAAGACGTCTTTGCGTGCATACAACAGCAGCAGACATGGAACGACGAAGGCTGGTAGTTCTTGCACAAACCATGCAACTCTTGCATCTACTGCAAAGCCGTACTTCCGTGTTGAATTCGATGAAAAGTACCTTCCATATTCGGCTTTAAGAAAGATAAGACTGACTGCAACAATCACCCCCGTTACTATCATTATCTTTGAGAGAATGAAGATGAATTGGAGTTCTTCCAGCCCTCTTGCAAAGTCGAAGAAGGAAGCCATTTTCTTATGCAACCTAGAAAATGTCTCTATTACGATGATCTGGGAACGAGGAAATCGCCTGGTTACTAAGTTTTGAGTTTTGCATCATGGCGGGAATATTAGTTTGATTTACGAGATTCTAACTACATTTTAACCATGAAGCAAGAGATTTATCAACAGATATTATCCATGATGCATACTTATGGTTCAAGGGACTGTTTGAAAACCATTGCTTTGCAGTTCCCGGGGTATGTAGGTCGTTTAGTAACCAATTAAATAAACGTCATACGCAAGGTCACCGTATCGGCTAAATAAAAACCCTGAACGATGTACAAAATGCCTTAGTGCTATGCATCGAATGAGCTATTGTTGAATGAGATTAAGCATTTCATACGCACAAAATCTTTTAAAAAACCCGTAATAATTAATACACACCACTTTAATTACATTCTAATTTCTGCTTCTTCTTCCTTTCAGTGTGACATATAACACACTAGTTAGTATATACTCACAAGATTATCAGGTAAGTCTTATGACAAAAGAGTATTTATCCCTGAAAAAGTAAGCCTTTAACTGGTACCTATGTGTTGTGAGAAAGAAAACATGGCTGTCACATAGTTTTTGTGCAACTGAAACATTTAACCTATTTAAGATATCTATAGCACTGTAATACATTGCAAAGTGTGATCGACATCCTCAGGCGTTAATTCAAGATCAGGCTAATAACCAGCTTTTTCACTAGAATGTATTTTCAGAGATTGATGACTGGAAGCGTGCTAACCTTGTGCTTTAATGCTATGAGATTTATTTCATTTTGCTTCTTTGTTATTTAAGAACTCAAAAGTATGTCCTAGTTGCAAGAGAGTGATTTTTCTTAAGTACCATTGAGTTACAATTTGCTTGTGGATTGATCTTTGTAGTGCATAAGCTGAAGTGTAAAGCAATGCTGTCACTGGGTAGCTGTTTAGTATTATCACTTGGTTTGGCGTTGTGGCACATTTTACAGACTAAAATGGAGCACACTTGCAAGCTTGCATGATCATTCAGGCTTTTGTTTTGTCATTTTTTCAGTTGTTATTTTCTCTAAGTCCTCCAAAGTGATATATTAAAGATAAAGTTTGTGTCCATGGGCATAAATATGTTTTGGGCTCTTCTCAAACTCATTTTAACCCTCACTTGTCAGCTCAGGCTAAAATGACTATGAGTTGGGCCCAAAATATATTTATTCCTGGGAACATAAACTTTGTTATTTTAATGTGACTTGTTGCAAACATCAATTGGCATTTAGGATATTTTTTCCATCTCTTTTACCTGTTGTTTAAATTTTTTGCCTGGATGTTTATTTTTGCTGTTGTTTATGTTAACAGAAAAAGACAAGAAAAAATCACCATAAACACCACAAGCCAGAAGTGATGGAGGCCTACTACAAGAGGTGAGGATAAAGACATTTTATAGCACATACTAATCACAATTTAGTGCAAGATGAAAATAGCAAGCAAAGTTTTAGAGATGCAGTACTTTAAGGACAGCATGATAAGTATAAATATTTTTTACTTGCAAAGCAACCCAAACAGATTTAAGCTTTTTAAAAGCAGCTTGCTCCCTGAAAAAATTACCACTTCCTTCCTCAAATTGAGTGGTTGCCCTGTAAATTAATTCCACAGGTGTCTCAACCCTTTGAACCCCATAATTGACCAAGATAGTATTTTTCCTTAGAATATTGATACAATATCAGGCAGACAAATGATGAGAATAAATAATGGTAATTGAACTGAGAGGGGTTTAACTTGGTCCAAAATCATATGCCTCATTTCAAATTCAAATGAGCATGCAGCACAAGTTTGATTTAAAGTTATGAGTACGATTTCAGACAATAATTACACTCCACTCAGTTCAATTACCACTTTGAAATTGCAAAAGTTACTCCTCATATACAGGAATTTTTTAGTCTGTTCGAATATTAATTGATCCAGTGCTGAACTTGTTTTTGTAAATAGTTGCAAAAGCTGTCTTTCATTTTCCTGCAATTTGAGTGGTTATTTTAAACAAGCCTTGAAATCTGATTGGTTGTTGTGTTTTAGTAAAGCTTTCTTGTTGGCTTGGGAAAAAATGCAATTTAGAGCCAATAATGGTGTGATTTGTTAATAAATCAAACCAATAAGAGCCAATCAGATTATAAGGATCACTGTTGATTTCAAAATGGATGTAATAAAGAGTGATATCAGGAGATAATGAGATGCGGGAGTGAAAGAGCAAAGAAAAATATGGCAAAAGAGCCATCTACTCACTTCTGCATCTGTAATCAAGGAAGCTTTTTTATCCAAAGCTTTCTGACATGCCTGGCTCTTCTTAAATTAATTTCCACCCTCAGTTTGGTATCTGGAAAATTATGGTGCCTAACCTAATCTTATCTGAGGCATCAGATATTGTCTCATTTTGAACTTCACTTTTCTCTAAAACTTTTCAATTGTTAGATACTTGTCAGGTGTATCTCAGGACTCAGGAGAGCCTGTATTGTTAAGGATTGCTGAAGAGGTAAAGGTACCAATATCAGACTATGCAATCATATAAAATTAGGCCTTAAACCTTAAGAGTGATTAGCATCTAATTTCTTCTTGCAATATCACCCCTGAATCACATTCAAGGTCATGAGAATAAAGGAAATGATCAACAACTGAAGTAGCTGGTGATTGTTAAACAAAGAGGTTTGAGACCTTGGCAGGTCATTGTGTTGTTTGCTCTCACAATACCTCTCCCCACCCAGGAGCATAAATGGGTCTCCGTGAATTGTCAGGGAAGCCTGATGAAATGCTAGGAGGTGATCTGGCAATAGACAGGCCTTTGATCCAGGGGCGAATAGTAATACTCCTTGTTGCTTTGTGCCAAGAAGCTGGAATAAGTTTCAGCTGGGTAGTCCACTGGGCTGGAGTGCAGACTTTAGCTACCTTACTTACCCATTCTCATTTCAGAATAGAAAGATAAGACAGATGGTACAAAGAGGGTACTTTGTAAAGGTAAAAACATGATTTCGAGTGAAATGTGGTGTTAATAAGCACAAGCAAGGTTTTCAAGGACAACAAAATTGCACGAACCCGTTGTACTCTTTGGAAAGTTTATAAGTGCTTATTTACACCAAATTGCACCAGAAATCATGTTGTTACTTGTTAATAATTTACTTGAAAAAAGCACCACAAAAAGTCAAGACGGACGAAACTTTGGCAGCGCGCGCTATTTGTAATTTGTAATCGTGTTGCAACTTTGCACTCGTGTTACATGAAAAATATACTTGTTTTCAGCCAATCAGGCGCGCGTGATTTTTTATGTTCATTATTACACTAAGAACAGCACACAAGGGAAAGCCTCTAGTTACGTCCTTCTCACGTCTTTTGTTGTCAGTGTTATTATTCCCTGAAGAGCTTGAGGCTTGTTTTTTCAAATCATCAGGTTGATTTATCCCATTCTCTTCTGGCAAGAATAGTACTTGTAAGGCATCTTTCTCACACTTGTTACGAGGAACAAAATCGTAAGTGTGGCATGTTTGTTTCTGACGGTAAATAAATCCTATAAACTCTTTGATCCCTAAGAGTGACAAGCGTCTAATATCTCCTTACGATAAAGGAAATCATTAATAACTAAAAAAGCTCTTGATTGTTAGACAAGTTCTTCTTGTAAGCACCTTAGAAAATGTATGCAGAACAGTATGGAGAAGATGAATACTGATGTGAGAGTGTGAATGGTTAATGAAGCCCCTCACGGACATCAAGATCAAAGTTTCTTGGGCACCTGGAATTTCAGTCATGGGAAAGTTTAATTTTTTCTTTTTTATCTTAGCTCCAAAAGGTGTTGTAAGCCAGATGATGAAAGATCCTCTGTCCCTCATAGAGGACAAGACATTAGCTAACGAGGTGCACCAGGTAAGATGCCATAAAAAATTCACAGCGGTCAAATGTCGGGTATGCGCGAGGGGATCAATTCTGTTCGGCCGCGCGCCAATTTCCCGCGCAAAATTCAAAGGAAGACATAAGAAAAAATCACTGTCCCCCAAATTAGCGAAGGAAAATTGAAACGTTCACAGAGATCAGTCAAAGAAACAAATTAGTGAAAAGGAAAACTCAAGACAAAGCTTATTCAAGTATTTGGCGATAGCACCTCTGACGAAGGGCTAACGGTCGACGAGTCAGCTTTGGAAACTCTCTACGGTGTCCAATTTACATCATCAAGTCTGTTGATTAAACCACAACTTTTTATACTCCCCCCAACGAAGCAGCACCATAGTTTCTTTATAAACTTAACCCCTTTTATTCATTCGCAAGATTATTTAGTTACACATATACTACTGCCAGTGTGTTGAAGTCACGTAGAATTACACTTTGAACAAAGACTAAACAACATATTTACAGTATTCCTTTCGTGTTTTTTTTTTTCAGTGTATATTGAATGATCCAAACTACGGGCCCTTGGCGGACAACATTAAACGGTATCCTTAAAATGTAAGGACACAAAAAAAAGCTAGAATAGAAGATAGCATTCGAATTTGGCTTGCTAGGAACATAACGAGATTTGAATGTCAAATCTTCAGAGTACGTAAGTTTCAGTCTTCGTTGGGGATAAATTTTTAAGTTTTTGAGATTGTTGAGCCATTTTATCGTCGAAAAAAAAAAAGCAAAAACAAAAAAACAAACAAAGTGTTGAGTCCAAATCCTTGGCGGTTATTTTATATAAACTACGAGCAATCCCTCCACTTTGGCGAAGTCCGTCGCACAAGTAAAGAAAAATCGGTAAAAAAAAACAACAACAACAACAGTTTAGCGTACAGCACGGAACGCTGGGAGTGAGGCGCGGAAAAGTCGTCTAATGATCTCGGAATGCGACTGCGACGTCGTCACTCTCCTTTTTCGGCGCATAAGGCGGTTTGCTTGTTTTCGCTTTAAGCTCCCATTTGCTCTTTGTAATAAAGGGGATAAGTTTCCAAAGTAACTGTGGTGCTGCGTCGGTGGGAGATTATAACAGGATAATTAGTATTATCAACTGAGTTGAT